TCTGCAAAATATGCGAGGGGATTATGTATGTTCCGGAGAGGCCATCGGTCAGCACTTTAGCACTTTTGCGCAAGTGGAGAGTCAGCAGGTCAAAGTCATCGACTTCGTAAGCCTTACCGTTTGCCCTGTAGGTGGATTCAAATTGATTCCCTAGTAGTTTCCTGGACTAGTACTTGTAGCGACTGTTTGCATTAATCAGCTTCAGCCTGAGTAGTTTCGTCTCATAAATAAGCAAGGTGCATACTAGTGCTTAGGCCTTATCTTTCAGGAAGTCCCGCTGGGCAGATGTTGCTTATTTTTTCCTTTCTTTCTAAGCTCACTGGGCTCAGATGAAGTCCAGTCTGTAGGTTGTTTTCGTTGTGCCTGGTCATGCTGCATTTCATAGACTGCAGTGTCCCTCCCCTTGCGGTGTGCGCTTTGAGCACCTTCTCTTGGGCTCTGAGTTGTGCCTTCTTGCCCACAGAGGAATTACAAAGAAGACCATCGGCGGTGGTGTACTCTCGCCTTCCGTTGGTTTCGTAGGACCATTCAGTTCTTTCAAGAATGGCGCGAAACTGGCTGCGCGCGGTCTCCTCTGTTAGTCTGTTTGTATCGGTGATGCTTGCAAGTGCGCACTCGTTTAAAGATAGCCCACCGGCTTTGTGGTACTCCTGTTTCACCGTTTCGCGAGCCTTCTGACCAGTCACCCAGAGGTCTTCCCTCCCAAAGTCTATCCCACTGTAGTCGGTCGCCTTGTGCACGTTCAAGACGAGCAATCGCCCTGGCCTTGCAGCTGAGGTCGCCAGCAGGAGCATACGGTGATACTTGTGTCGCTGTTTGGTCGTCATGTGCTTGAGTTGGCGCTTGAATGCGTTGAAGTCTGGCGTCTGGCTTGCCTGAAGTTGCGCGCGAGTCAGTGAGTCCCCCTTGGTTTTTCTCGGTCGAGTGGCAAGGTCGGCGCTTCCTTGTTTCAGAGAGCCACTCTAGGTGGAAAGTCTGTCCCAGCATCTTCTTCACTTGTTGCCTTCCCCATTCTTCGGCTTTCCGTGTTGTCCTCGTCTCTTTCTTCTCCCTCAATACTGCCAGCTCCGTTACAGCTCAGCTGCCTTGCTTCGTTCTGATTGTTAGGCTATTGTCTGGTAAGGAGGCCAGAGCCCATCGGGTTGTGTGTGTATTATCATGCAAATCTACTGAACAGAAGCGGGGAAGTCACTTAGCTTAGGTTGAGCCGGCTTGTGTCTAACGTGAGAAGCTACTCGGGAGGGCTAGAGTGAAGTTGAGGCCCTTGCCTGTTCCCTTGCCTGGTCCCCCTTTGGTGAAGCTGATGGAAGGTCTTTTTGTTTGGTTTTTATAGGTGTTGCGCAGTAGTCGTTCAGGCGTTGATCCCTGTGTCTTCTTCGTGATTTGCATTTCTATCAAGTCATCAGCCAAGCACGTCCATGGCCTTGCATTTAGATGAAGCAGCTCCATGAGCTGACCAGTCGAGTCACTATTTGCCTTGTATTTGTTCCATCTTATCATCTTCCTCTCTTTCTGATATAATTCCTTACTTTCCTAGGGTTTGAGACCAATAGAGCACAACGTCCGTCATCTTGATCTTCCAGTAGTATTATTCGACTACTCTTCCGCCAAACTCATTCAAAAACATCCACACTCGTCCCATTTTTAGAACCCTGCTTACCTCTAGAAAATGCATTCGGGACTAATCAACGCCATCGCTTTCAGGTACTTGCGCGGGTGACGGTGACGAGCTTCAAGGCTTGTTTTGGCCTCCAATTGCGAAGGAGATTATGCTGCAGCGCTGCTCAGCGTTGTGACCCGGGTCATCGGACACATCAATGTCTTCAGCGTGTGGCGTAGTGTATATCTAGTTTCACCCTCAGGACAGGCAACCCCTGGCCCAACCGGAACGATCGCGGGCAGCGCAGACGAGCTTCGCGGGCAGAAATACGCGCGCGCTATACGCGCGTGCGCGCGTGCGAGCGCCCTTTAAATTATCTAGTTTAAATACCTAGTTAAAAAAAAATTTTTAAGGTTTCGACGCAACCGGTAGACTCGTGAAAGTAGGAGAATTACGCTTCATATCTCTTCGGTGCAGGTAGATACCTATCCCATGGGGGTAAAAGTACAGGGAGGGGTAGCAAGTCTCTGCGCTCATAAGCTCAAGGAGCAGCGGCCTATCACTATGTGAATACTTGGCGACGATATCGGCATCGCTTTCTTGTTCGATCTTACGCCAAATTTCCTTTTCCTTTCTAGCGCCTGGAGTAAGCTGGGCTTGGCGTCTTGGTCTTGAATGCTTGACAGCGTTCCGACGCAACGGGTTCGAGTGGCAGACGATTGATTTTATTGGTCCTGCCTGGGGCAAGGCTGGGGTGGTTTGCCTGGTTTCCCGAGTAAGTGCCACTACTGCTCTGTCTATTTCTGCTACGGAGCTAGCTACCCCTAGAGGCTCTGTCAGTCTCCTTGCCTGTGTTAGTTTACTTTATTCGAGCTCAGCCAGGGGCGTGGCTTGCGCCGGTTTTGGCCCGTGGGGTTTGTTTTTGTCTCCTCTTCGGGGGGCCCTCGTCTGCGGAGCCTTCGTTCATCTATAGCCTCGCCCGTTTCTTATGCTCCTGCGATTGGGGATACGGATAAGCCACGGATCGCGTGCCTTCTTCTCTCTTCTCTCTCTCTCTTCTCTTTCTTGGTGCATTTGGTTTGCCGACTGAGTAACCGTAGCGCGCCTCCTTTCGTTTTTCGCTTTGGGCTTATCGTTATCAGTATTGCTCAGTGCCAGCTACTGCGTGAGGTGGTAGATGGGCTGCAAGCGATGGCGGCTGCTTCTGTTGGTGTTGTCTGGTTCTCTGCTCTTGGTTGCTTGCGTTTGTTCAGTTAACAGGGGACGATCGAACGAGAGCGCGCTTCCCTTGTTCGCTCGTCGCCTGTTAACTGATCTGCAACGCCCAGGGGGTATTAATTTAGCTTGCTGGCCCTTGTGTTTTTTCATACGGGGGAGAAGCTGGCTCACGTCGGGGCATGTCGTTCAGGACTACCGCAGAAGCAGGGGGACCGGCGAGTCGCTTGCTGGGTTGCTTCTACGAGGTTATATAGCTTCTTCTTTGGGGCTGCTTGTTCGTGTTGCTTTTTTGGTCTACTGGCCCAAGGCGGGCCTCCCTCGGGTCAAGTGCAGGGAGCAGAAGTAGAAGTCTTCTGCTTTGGAATGAACGTAGCAGCCCGCCGAGCGTGGTGGCGTCGGGTGGCGGCGTTGCTCGGATTTCTGAGGAGCGAGAATAGAGAGGCGTGGCAAACAATCTGAGGGAAATAAGTGAGGGGGCAGCAGCCAGTGGCACAGACTTCGGGGTTCTGTTGCACGGGACTGCGCAGCGCGAAGGCTGCGACCGTCTCGCCACTGGTGCCCTTGAATCAAGCGCAGCTGCCTGCAGATGGGGGCAAATGACATGGCTGACAGACTCTGACTGTTTTCGTGCCCCCGCGCTCGTTTAACACAGTCTGTCAGGCACCTCAGAGTCAGCCCCGCGCCCAGGCCTTGAAGCCTTGCGCCGGCCGCTATTGGCCTCAAGCGGTCCTACGGTCGACTCGCTAGGCTATGCAAGGCCGCCCAGCAATTCTGCAGGCTCTCAGGGCCTCAGGCTTCCTTGTGCTTGGCTTGTTTCAGTTTGGAGCAAGCTGCCACGGCGCTCTAAACTACCGCGGGCGCCGCCGGGTTATTTGTTTGTTAAGTGAAAGCAGGGGGCCAGGCTGTGCTGGTTTTGACTATCGTGAGTGCATTTCCGTAAGAGTGAGTCTGGCTATTTTTCCCGCAGGTATGTAAGGTTTGTGGCGCGGCGCAGTCAGATGCTAGGCGTAGGCGGGTGCGGGTTTCTTTGTTTGCGGCCCCGCGCCCTCCACTAGGTGGCGGGGGCGCTGAGTGCGAGTGGGGGACAGACTTCTTGGCACCGGCTTCGCGCCTGTGGCGTGTCTGTGTGTTTTTCGCACATCTCTAAGCCTCCCCTCTGGCGAGTATAGTATCGCTTCAACAGAGGGGCAGGCCTGCGCTTCTTGTGGTTGTGCTTGTGGTCGGGGGTGTTTTTTGATTGATTTACCCAAGCTTTTTTCTGGTAGGTCTTCTCTTATAGCAGAGTAGTTTATAGCACGCATGGAGTGCATGGAGCGCAGAGCTTGAAGGGGCGCAAGAAGCTCCCCCTTTAGCTTCATGCTACTCCATGTGATCCATGCACTCCATGCCATGTGAGCGGTGAAACCTTATAAATTGCTCTGTTATAGGGTCTTTAGTCTGCGGTTGTCTCTCGAATCAGTAGGATAGAAGAAGCAGGGGCGCATCGCGCTGCGTCTGAAGTTAATAGGGGCTTGCTCTTGCAGCTGCATGTACAAGGATGGGGAAGGGGGCGACTCAGGCTTGCCCTTTTTCGGCACTGGGTGCGTCCGTGGCTGTCTTGTGTTTGCTTTTAGCTAACAGTCTGAACGTTACGCATTGTGCAGAGCAGCGCGCGGCCGTGCAGATGCTTGGTGCGTGTTTTGGTTGTTCGTTTGGCCTTTTTTCAGTCAGGCGCCCACGCATGTATTCTGCTACCTAGGTTAGTCTCCGTTTTATCATGTCAGCTTGGGTAACTAAAGCGCGAATGCTGCGCCGTGGATGAGTCGCTTGACGTGTTAGAGAGGTTCACTGGATGCTAAATGCTATCCATTCGGTGAACTAGTTTGCCTTTAGGGTTGTTATTGTTAGTTTTTCGGACTGGGATCAATCAAGATAAGACGCAACAGCTAATATCTGGAAGTAGGTAGCCACGACTTGCCTCAACAGCGTCAACGGCGGCCTGACCACCTGCAATAACGAGTGCCGGGAGCATATCTGGGGAAGTGATTTCTGGCGTACAGTATATCAGGGGAGCTGATATATTTGGAGCATATCTGGCGGGGATATCCAGGGTATATCTGGGAGGATTTCGATCCAGGGCATATCAATATCGGGAGGGGGCTTGCAGGGTACATCTGGTGGGAACTTTCTGGGGGATACCTGTATCTGGAGGGGTCTTTCTAACGCATATCTGGAGGGGAATTTCTCGGGTATATCTGGGTGGGTAATCTTCGCTGGGCCAACGAACCATGGCAGGGGCTGAGATCGCCCGTGAGGGCTGTGAGTACGAGACGCTGGCACCAGAGAACCACGACGAGACCACCAAAATCATGGGCACTGGCAGCACTCCGCAGAGCCAGGAGGTACATATTAAAAATAATCTTCATCGCATTTTTTATTTTTTCATGGTGGCCCTCGCCCTCGTAGATTTCCTTGTTTCGATCCACCTGTCCACATTCATAGTTCTTGGATTGAAGGTCTATGAGATATGGGCTAACTTTGTAAACTTAGCAAACAAGTACAAGCAACTCTAGTACACGTTTTGGTTGGGTCGTAGGTTTTAGGAGTCGAAAGCAAAGAAGAGGCAGAGGCTCTTGCCGTTTATAATAACTCAGAAGACAGCGCTTTGGCAGCTCTTCGAGATCGTGAAGGTATGGGGGTACTCTGCGGCTCTGTTTTCCTATTGAATGGGGACGACAAATGGCACACACCCTTTAGTTTTATTTAAGTAGGAACTTGACAACTTCAACTTAGTCTTAGAGTGATGCGGGCCATCATCTGGCCTCTCAGCAACAGACTGACTCCTTCGCATTAGGCTGCTGAGTAAGTTATATTGTGCGATTAAAATAAGAAGAAGATGAGAAGTAGATCTAGATGTAGAAAGAGCTTGAGCACTAACTAACTTTTTGGTAGATCATGAGTGCGGTTCTACCTCCCTGAGCTGGTCTTCCCACTGCACTGCCAGAGCGGCAATACCATAGAAAAGAAGCAAGAAGCTTTTCTTCATAAGGAAGGAGCTTCCCCGGGAGAGCCCAACCTCATGAACACGAAGGGCATGTAGCTAAGCTCCCGCGACCTTAGCCCCCTTTTAGAGTGATCCTCAGTTAGCGCTAGCTGTCACTTGCGTAGGGTCCTGTATGAGTATGACATAGGAGGTAACTTTTTTTCAGCTAACACTATGCCATATTAGTACAACTTATATTAGAGTAAGGTAAATAACGGGTTTCGGGTTGCTCGCGTTGCAGCGGGTTGCCCGCGTTGCCGAAGCGCAGGGGTTGCAAATCTGGAACGGGTTGCCACGGGTTGCCAGGAGAATCCTGGCCCAGCAAAATGGGGCGAAGCCGGGCGGAGGGTATGGCGGAGCATTTGCGCGCCCGAAGTGAAGAAATGAAGAAGAGCGCAGCTCTTGCCTTTTGTTGGGGCTCATGAAATTGAAAGGGGCAGCCACGTGTGGAGGGCTCTGCAGCCTTTCAGGCTCTTACTTTGTAGCGTGCGGGCGCGTGTTTGAAGCGAAAACAAGGAGCGAACTTCCCTGCTCTCTGTTGTTTTTTTTGAGTTCAGTGTCGCCGTGGTCTGGTGTGTCGTCTTCGAGTCGTTGGCGATCTCTCCACTTTTTCTTCGGGTGCGAGCGTGGCCAATCTGCTTGGGGGCTGAGAGCGTGTTTCTGTCTGCTGCCATCAGCGTGCGGGCGACGTGTCCAGCCTTGGGCCTAGCAGTAAGTATACTGGAGGAGCTTGCTAAATTGAAACGGATTGACGCGCTAGATATTTATATACGAGCGCATCGCCATCAGTATGCAACTAGAAAGAACTACGTAGACGTCGCAAGTAGATAGGGCGTCGCCGCTAGATGTCTTACCCATCTAGCTAGATACCAGCCACACCACTCCGCTGAGAGTAAGAATCGGTGGCCGCACTTCCTTGGCAAGAAAAGGGTAGGCGTTGGGGCTTTAATGGTGGGCGCACTAAGAAGAACGCCAAGGATCAGAGACGCGGCGCGTGGTGTCGTGCGCTCCTTTTAAGGTTTCTCGTAGGGTCATAAGTCTGCGCCTGAAGGGCGCCGCGCAAAAAATTTGGGTTGGCAACTCGAGCAAGCCGACCCGATATTGGTCAAAAAAAGGCCTAAAGCTATTGGCGTTAAGTCAGCTAAGAACTGCACAAAAACGGTCTTCGCTGCCGCCTCCTCGTCCTGAAAGTGCTCCGCTTAGCGGCTTTTGCAACTTGCTTCCTCTTGGTTTTTCTGTCTTTTGGTTTCGTTTCATCCATGTGATCCCCCGCGCCCCTCCAGAGTCCACCGCACCAGCCTGCAAATGTGTGCTGGGGGATTTTGGAGGGGCGCGGGGATTTGGAGGGTGCCCGAGGTTCTTGGCTCGCAACTGGGTGAGGGTTTTCCAGAAGGGAGCGCAATAGGCGGCGAGTGTTCTGCGGATTCGTATCATGCCCGGAAAGATTGAACTCCGTCCGGATTTTTGCAGTCCTTATTTGGATTTTCTCCATTCAGGCCCCACTTGTCTGCGGTCAGATTTTTCACCATAATCGGAGAGGTTTGGGGGTTCTTCGTTCTTGGGTCTTTTCATGTTGTTAAGTGTTGGACTTTTGACCACTCGGCGCCCCGAGGCTCTCGCGCCGGGTGGGATTAGTTACAAGGATGAGAGACACGCCGCCGCCTCTAAATGGCCAGGCCATTCCCAATGCGCGCCGCTGTGTGTGCGCAGATTGTCGGGGGGGTTTGCTGGCTTTGTTCGCACTCTTTTGAAGTATTTCAGCGGGGAACTTTTCGGGGGTTTCAACTGAATTGAATAAACTCCTCTATTGTGTGCCGTGTTCCGGCTCGCGAGGCCATTTTTGATGAAAAAACTGAAAAGATGTCTTCAGATTTTTTTCCAAAAATGGCTTAGCGAGCCGGAACACGGCAAACAATAGAGGAGTTTATTCAATTTGTTGGCATTTTTCAAGAAGGGCTGGACTGGTTGCCGCTTCAGTTCCAAAGGGCTCGCGCCTCCTCTTTTTGTTCAGTTTCGATGGTGTAGCGTGCTCGCCGCGCCTCTCGTGCTTCTGCAGTTGGTTGATTAGATTTCAAACCCCACTTGTCTGTGGTCAGATTTTTCACCATAATCGGAGAAGTTTGAGGCAGTCCGCCCGAGGTTCTTCGTCCTTGGGTCTTTTCATGTTGTTAAGTGTTGGACTTTTGACCACTCGGCGCCCCGAGGCTCTCGCGCCGGGTGGGATTAGTTACAAAGAAGAGAGACACGCCGCCGCCTCTAAATGGCCAGGCCATTCCCAATGCGCGCCGCTGTGTGTGCGCAGATTGTCGGGGGGGTTTGCTGGCTTTGTTCGCACTCTTTTGAAGTATTTCAGCGGGGAACTTTTCGGGGGTTTCAACTGAATTGAATAAACTCCTCTACTGTGTGCCGTGTTCCGGCTCGCGAGGCCATTTTTGATGAAAAAACTGAAAAGATGTCTTCAGATTTTTTTCCAAAAATGGCTTAGCGAGCCGGAACACGGCAAACAATAGAGGAGTTTATTCAATTTGTTGGCATTTTTCAAGAAGGGCTGGACTGGTTGCCGCTTCAGTTCCAAAGGGCTCGCGCCTCCTCTTTTTGTTCAGTTTCGATGGTGTAGCGTGCTCGCCGCGCCTCTCGTGCTTCTGCAGTTGGTTGATTAGATTTCAAACCCCACTTGTCTGTGGTCAGATTTTTCACCATAATCGGAGAAGTTTGAGGCAGTCCGCCCGAGGTTCTTCGTCCTTGGGTCTTTTCATGTTGTTAAGTGTTGGACTTTTGACCACTCGGCGCCCCGAGGCTCTCGCGCCGGGTGGGATTAGTTACAAAGAAGAGAGACACGCCGCCGCCTCTAAATGGCCAGGCCATTCCCAATGCGCGCCGCTGTGTGTGCGCAGATTGTCGGGGGGGTTTGCTGGCTTTGTTCGCACTCTTTTGAAGTATTTCAGCGGGGAACTTTTCGGGGGTTTCAACTGAATTGAATAAACTCCTCTACTGTGTGCCGTGTTCCGGCTCGCGAGGCCATTTTTGATGAAAAAACTGAAAAGATGTCTTCAGATTTTTTTCCAAAAATGGCTTAGCGAGCCGGAACACGGCAAACAATAGAGGAGTTTATTCAATTTGTTGGCATTTTTCAAGAAGGGCTGGACTGGTTGCCGCTTCAGTTCCAAAGGGCTCGCGCCTCCTCTTTTTGTTCAGTTTCGATGGTGTAGCGTGCTCGCCGCGCCTCTCGTGCTTCTGCAGTTGGTTGATTAGATTTCAAACCCCACTTGTCTGTGGTCAGATTTTTCACCATAATCGGAGAAGTTTGAGGCAGTCCGCCCGAGGTTCTTCGTCCTTGGGTCTTTTCATGTTGTTAAGTGTTGGACTTTTGACCACTCGGCGCCCCGAGGCTCTCGCGCCGGGTGGGATTAGTTACAAGGAAGAGAGGCACGCCGCCGCCTCTAAATGGCCAGGGCATTCCCCACGGGCGCCGCCATGCGTGCGCAGATTGTCGGGGGGGTTTGCTGGCTTTGTTCGCGCTCTTTTGAAGTTTTTCAGCGGGGAACTTCTCGGGGGTTTCGCCGGAATTGAATAGACCCCCCCACTGTTTGCCGTGTTCCGGCTCGCAAGGCCATTCTTGACGAAAAAACTGAAAAGATATCTTCAGACTTTTTTCCAAAAATGGCTTTGCGAGCTGAAACAAGGCAAAAAGTAGGGGGGTTTAGTTATTCAATTTCCTGGCATTTTTCAAAAAGGGCGGGGCTGGTTGCCGCTTCAGTTCCAAAGGGCTCGCGCCTCCTCTTTTTGTTGAGATTCGATGGCGTAGCGTGCTCGCCGCGCCTCTCGTGCTTCTGCAGGTGGTTGATTAGGGTGGCGCTAAGTCAGCTAAGAACTGCGCAAAAGCGGCCTGCGCTGCCGCCTCCTCGTCTTGAAAGTGCGCCGCTTAGCGGCTTTTCCTTTTGTGACTTGCTTCCTCTTGGTTTTTCTGTCTTTTGGTTGCACACATATGAGCACACAGCACTGCCGGGTGGAGGAGGACAGGGACGGAGCAAGATAGACTACGCCGTGGCCAACAGGACGGCGGCGGAAAGGATGGGAAAAGCTGGCATGAGCTCGAGGAAACTGGGCTACACCATAAAGGAAGAAGAGGAGAAGAAGGGCCGCCGCCCCATGCTGGTTACCATTGGGCTCCTCGAGAAACAGGGAAAGCGGAAAGAGCTGGGGAACGTCGGGGCGATCCGGTATGGCAGGGAGAGGGTGTGGGAAATGGCACGGCACCAGAGGGAAATGGTGAGGCCCTCGAAGTACGGGCTGGAGCAACGAGAAAAGTGGGACACGCTGCAGCACAAGACTGGACAAAGGCAGCAAAAACAGAAGAGAAAAGGAGAAACGGAGGAACAAGAAGAGAGGGGAGCAAAGAAGCAGTGGAAACAAGAGGAGCCGGGGGAAGCGGACAAGGGGGGCGCACGCACCCAAACACCGGCAGAGAAGCGGAGGCAGATAAGGACTGCGAATGTGTGCAGCTGGACGCCTAGAGAGCTCAGGAGTGAACTGAAGGAAACAAAATCCAACAAGGAAAGAGGACCGCGGAGAGGTCTGACGATGCTGGATGGATATGGAAGCGACTAGCCAAAAGGGTACACGCGAGGGAACAGGAGAAAAAATGGAGGGGGATGCAGGCCCTCCGCGAAGCTAGGAGGGTAGTCCGTCGAAAATAGAAAAGAGGACGTGTTCCAGAAGTGGGACAAAATAGGGGACAGAGAAAGGGCGAGGACGCTTCGCGCACTAGCAGAAGAAGAGACGGCAAGGGTGGAACGGTGGCAAGAGCTCAAGAAAGTGGCGGGCAATGCCAGGGAGCTCGAGGACATTGAAGCAGAAAGGGCTAAAGAGCTCGAAGAGGTAATGGCCTGGACGCGTCGGATGTCCCTGAACGCCTACAGGGCCCGCCAGGGGCGTGAAACCTACGGAAAAGAGGACGGGGAGAAAGGCGCCTGCCTCTCCCGCGTAAGATAATGGCAGACAGGGGGCTCAGATGGCTCAAAGCGCCTGAGGAGCAGGCAAGGGACCAGAAGGAAGAGAACAGCCTGAGAGACTGGAAAAGAGGCAAGGACCAGACGCAGACTGGAGGAGGGCTCGCTCTCCCGGTAGTCTGGGAAGAACTCTCCCAGCGGGTGAAAGCCATAACAAACCGAGGCAAGCATCCCAGAGGGGAGGGTAGGGAAAGGCTGGGCGCGGTGATAGTAAAAGACGGGAAGAGAAAAGAGACCGGGAACGAGCTGGAAAAGCTCCGGCGCGAACGGATTAAAGCAACAAAGGAAGGGAAAAAAGCGGGCGCCGCTTTGGCGCATCTTCTGAGGAAATACCACGAGGGGAAGACGAAGGCGACTGCATGGCGGTGCTGGCGACAAGGCGAGCAGAAAATAAACGGAGGAAAAGAAAAAGAGAACCGGTAAGCCCCCGGAGGAGGAGCAAGAAGAGCAGGAGGCGAACGAGGTAAGCAGCACGCTAGGGCAAAAGCTGAAAGAAATCGCGGCCAGGCGTCGCAACCTGCGCAAACAAGAGGAGGACCTGAGGGGGGAGGTAGAAGGACTAGAAAAGGAAGCGAAGGCCACGGGGTGGAAGGGCAGAAAATCAGGAACCTCGCCAGAGGAAGCAGGACCGACCAGGCCGAGCAGCTGAGCTCCATGAAATGGCGCGGCAACACAGAGGGACGAGCCGAGGAGGAAAGAAGAACACCGAAGGCAGTGGCATCAGGGTAACCGACCGCGTTGGGAAATACAAAGGAACCGCCAGGACGGGCAACGAGATCGCTGACGCCTTCCGCGAGAGAATAGAGGAGCGCTGGAGCATCGCCGGAGAAGATGATAAGGACACCGACGAAAAATGGAACAAGACCAAGGAAGAAGCGGAGCCGGGAAAGTGGTCGGCCAAAATAGGCGAGAAGCTCCGGAATGAGCTAAAAGGAGTGGGCGCCAATGGGCTGCCATGGCAGGCCGATAGGGAGGCAACCGAACAAGCCAAGTCCGCGAAAGCGGCTGGGCCGGGCGGAATCATCGGAGAGATCTTCAAGCTGGGCCCCGTGAACTGGGCGAAGGTTCTGAAGGAGATAGACGAAGCGAGCGGGGCTGAGGAGTTGCAAACAGGATGGGCGGCATGACTGTACAAAGGGAGGGGAAGCAAATGCGAGAGAATAAACTACAGGCCAGTCGCCGTCCTGCAGGTTGCGCGCGAGATAATACGCAACGCGCACAGGTGCCAGCTCGAAGGAATCATAAGGGATGCCATGGGTAGGGTCCTCCGTCAGTATGGTTTCCAGGCCCGAGTGGGATCATGCAGGGACTACCTCCTCGACGTCAGGTCACGGAACTCATAGAGGCAGACGAGACGTCAGGCCCTACCCTTGCGCTGTGCGATCTAAGTAAAGCCTTCGACCGGGCGAGAAGGCCAGGGGCAAGCCTTGGAGGATCATGCTGGAGCTAGGTGCTCCAGCCGGATACGTCGAGAAGGTGACGAACTTACACAGAAAGACGCGAAGGGCTTCGCAGTGGGGAAAGCACCGAGCAGAAGAGACAGCAATCGACCTCGGAGTGTATCAGGGGTCGCCAATATCCCCCTACCTGTTCATCATCTACACGCTTGCGATGAGTGAAGAAATCGAGCGAAGACTAGAGGGGGAAGGGTTGAGGGGGGTAGAAGTGACCAAGCCAGCGAACGCGACCGAGGAACCGCGAAAAGGTTGGCAGAACAGCCAGCGCAAATGGAAGCCAAGGGTGAAGAAATGGGGCAACCCGGCCCCCGAAGAGAGGCAGCCGCGCAGGGGGGTGGTCCCGGAGCATCCAAGCGTGCGAGGGGCTGACAGGGACACAGATAGGGCCTTCAGCCTCACCATATACGCTGACGACGCAAGCATATGGGGGCACACGGTGGAGAAGACAGTCTGGGCGGTGGAAATCTTCGAGGAAGTAGGGCAGGGCTACAGCATGACTGTGAACAAATCAAAAACGGAGACTCTCACGCGGGAAAAACTGACCCACCAGGAGCGGAAGGCCATAAGTGAGAGACTAGGAAGCAGCGACTTCGAGGCAAAAGGGACAGATCTGATTAAAAGAAACGGGCGTCTAGTCGGGGATATCGTAAACATCTACGGCGCCACACAGCCGGAGGTGGCTGACCGGCTGAACAAGGCCAAAAAAGTCGCGAGGATGATCAGCCCGCTCCTAAGAGATGAGGACATCGATCAACATGACAGGAAGATGCTAGTCGAAGCCCTGGTGGACACCGTTTTACTCTATGGGCTCGACACGTCCAAACTGTCAGACCATGACATGGAACAGATGCAGCAAATCCAGACCAAGCTGGTCACTCAGGGTCGTGGCGGACCCGAAGGAAGAGAAGAGGCGCGGAGAGACTTGGGGAAAGAAGAGGGCGGCCCTACCGCTCACGGATATGACAAAGGAGGAGATCCGCGCAGCGTGCAGAATGGTGGAGAAGGAGCAGCGCCCGCCGCAGGAGGAGGTAGACAGGAGAGCCCGCCTCCCCACGGTTCGGAGCAAGTGGGAGCGCCTGAGGCTACTGGCAATAGTCGACAGATACAGGGAGGAAAAGTGGGGCAGAAGGCTCGGCCTGGGGATGACTCTCAAGGCCAACGAAGGGCCGAACACAATGCCTGCCAGGAGAGTCAGACTAGGAGAAAGGGACAACAAGGAGGCGGAGATATGGAAGAAATTCAAGGAGAGACTAGGGAAATTCCTCCAAAACGAACCAGGGGGGGTTCCATAATATGGAGGAACTGAGCGAGATAATAGAAATAACGCGGGACCCTGAGAAGCTGGAAGGGACGCCACGCGTGCAGACCTGGGTGGAGCGGCTGGGAATGGCAGACGTCGACGCGTGGAACCTCGTGACACGCTGCCCGCAGTCGATCCACTGGAAGGAACTATGGAACGCGGCAACGAGAGTCCTGCACAATACCAGAAGAGGAGAGCGAGAAGACAGGGACTGGACGACGTGCAAGCACTGTGGGCAGGAAGGCTCTAAAGGCCCAAAGGGTTTAGTGGCGCACTGGGTAAGGACGGCAAAAAACTGGAAGGAAGAAGAGCGCGCAAGCTGTGGCTACCAGGCTGCAAGCGAAAGAGAGCGAGAATGGAAGAAGGACCGCGGGGACATGATGGACGCCGGTGACCTGGAAAGGCTCTCGCACTTCCAGGAAATATATCTGGAGGAAGCAGGACTGAGCCCCGAGGATGTGAAAGAAGTGGCGCGCATATCGCTGAAAGGAAAAAAGTGGCCGTACGTAGGAAACGGCATGCACATCCAAGACAAGCAAGAGGCAGAGGAGCGCCTCAAACTTGTGGAAGACTGGGAACATTACGAGCAGACGGGGGAAATCATCGACCAAGACAACCGGCGAGACTGCCCCTGGGGGGTGAAGAAATGCCAGGGGGCGCAGTCGGATACTCGCCGATGTGGTATGTGCCAGGCGATGCACGGCACAGGCCAGGCGCGCCAGAAGTGGCTAGAACAGGCCAAAAGGGTAAGAAAGGACGAGAAAAGGTGGGATGCATACCACGGGGCCAGGCGAATGCGCTGGGACCCGATGACAAAGGTAAAGGCGTGCCCATACAAAGAGAAGGCGTGTGGCTGGCCGGTGGAGAAACCGGGAAAATGGTGCGAAGGGTGTAAAAGAATAGAGGGAGGAGAAATCTGGGCCGCCCACTGCAGGGAAGTAGAGGAGAAAAAAAAAAGGAGGACCCTGCGGGGAAGGAGCAGGAGGAAAAAGCCAAGGCCCAGAGAAAAAGACAGAGGGAAGAGGGGCAGGACGATAGGGCAAGAAGAGAGGCCCAACGCAAAACCCAAAAGAGAGTGAAGAGACAGAGGAGAAGAGAAGGGAAGGAAAAAAGAGACCCGCGGGCAAACCGCTGGAGGGACTCAGGGAAGGAAAGAAGCCAAAGAAGCCTCCAGGGGCGGAAAAGGCTGGAGGAGAAAAGCGGCCAGCGGAGGAGCCGCTGATAGACCTCAGAAAAGGGAAGAAGGGGAAGAAGCAGCCAGGAGACCAAGAGGAGGAGAAGGGCAACGCCCTCAAGAAAAGGGGGGCACAGAGCAGCCCCACAGCAGTGAAGAGGAAGCAGCAACGAGAACAAAGAACAAGGCTGAAAGAGAGGAAAGGAGCCAGCACAGAAGTGAAGAAAAAAGAAGAGAAAGGGCGGAGACCTGGCAAAGGGACCGCCGGACGAAATGAGGCCAAGAAGACCACGAAGGGAACAGAACAGCAAAAAAAAAAGGCCGAAATGAAGGGGCCGCTTAAGGGGAGGCCCCCCGATGAAGGGGGAGGCAGTGCAGGAGGGTAAGAGCAAGCGGAACGAGCTCCCCTCGCCTCCTTGGGGTCCCCCGGAGAGGTGGCGGGCGCGGGTCTGGCCTCTCTCTGCGGGGTCGAGTAGGGGCAGTCTCTTATCTTAAAGAGGGCAACCCTCTTAGGTAAAACGATTGCAGGGATGAGATGGCATCCCGCCCCACCCGGTCGTTGGGTTTGCATCATCATCATCGTCATCGTTTCTCCGTTCAGGCCCCGCTCGTCTGTGGTCAGATTTTTCACCATAATCGGAGAGGTTTGGGGCAGTCTGCCCGGGGTTCTTCGTTCTTGGGTCTTTGCGTGTTGTTAAGTGTTGGACTTTTGACCACGCGGCGCCCCGAGGCTCTCGCGCCGGGTGGGATTAGTTACAAGGAAGAGAGACACGCCGCCGCCTCTAAATGGCCAGGCCATTCCCCACGTGCGCCGCCGTGCGTGCGCAGATTGTCGGGGGGTTTGATGGCTTTGTTCGCACTCTTTTGAAGTATTTCAGCGGGGAACTTTTCGGGGGCTTCGCTGGAAATGAACAGGCTCCCTCATTGTTTGCTGTGTTCCGGCCCGCAGGGCCACTCTGGACGAAAAAACTGCAAAGATTGTCTTCAGGTTTTTTTTCCAAAAATGGCTTTGCGAGCTGAAACACGGCAAACAGTAGAGGGCTTTACTCAATTTCTTGGAATTTTTCAAGAAGGGCCGGGCTTGTTGCCGCTTCAGTTCCAAAGGGCTCGCGTCTCCTCTTTTTGTTGAGTTTCGATGGTGTAGCGTGCTCGCCGCGCCTCTCGTGCTTCTGCAGGTGGTTGATTAGAATGGCGCCAAGTCAGCTAAGAACTGCACAGAGGCGGTCTCTGTTGCCGCCTCCTCGTCTTGAAAGTGCGCCGCTTAGCGGCTTTTGTGACTTGCTTCCTCTTGGTTTTTCTGTCTTTTGGTTTCGTTTCATGTGATTCCCCGCGCCCCTCCAGAGTCCACCGCGCCAGCCTGCAAATGTGTGCTGGGGGATTCTGGAGGGGCGCGGAGGTTTGGAGGGTGCCCGATGTTCTTGGCTCGCAACTGGGTGAGGGTTTTCCAGAAGGGAGCGCAGTAGGCGGCGAGTGTTCTGCGGATTCGTATCATGCCCGGAAAGATTGAGCTTAGTCCGGATTTTTGCGGTCCTTAGTTGAATTTTCTCCATTATATGGCTAAGATTAGGCAAGTTGAGTTCTGCGATCTCCTTAGTAGCGGCTCCATAAGGGCAGCCCCCTAAGGAATCTCCTTAAGGGATGCTCCTTAAAGGTGTGCCACCACTAAGGAGGGGCACCTAATGAAGGCTGTGCTTATATATCGAACAAAGATACGCCATCGCCCTCGTTTTTTTGATTTTTTGAGCTTTGCGCACTGAGTGCGTGGCGGTGCTTGGTCGCTGGACGGGGGATAGCGGCAGGGGCAAACCGTGGGGGCCCACCCTTTGCCTGGATATGGTGCCGCTGGATGATTTAGACGGCCTGACTCTGAGGAAAGGCGACGTCCCTGAGTTGGTCCAAAATGGATGGCATGGCGAAGGCGTGGCCCTTCTTTAATCAGACCGCGCGCCGAGCCTCCACCGGCCGCGACTGCTGGGCCACCTCGTAACCACATCCACCGCCCGGCCAAATGCCATGGCGCACCCGGTTCAAAATAGCCCAAGCAAGCACGGCTTAAAAAAACTGCAAAGCGCTGCGCCATGGGGGCAATTTTTCCCCGCATGGCTCCAGGGGTGACTTTGGAGGGGCTGCGTGTCACAAGTGGAACGCACAGCAAACGCAAAGCAGGGGGCGAGCCTCAGCGCATGGGCGCCCAGGCCGGGCGCTGGCGTGTGAAGGAATGGGGTGAAGGACCTGCAAAAATCTCAAACAGCGGGGCCGCAGGCTAGCGAGCTGAAAGCAGCCAGATCCTTGCGCGGTCTTCTTTGTGCGCCGTCTCTGCCTGGGGCAATTGGCTTGGACACATCCAGGGCGGGAGCGTTTGCCAAGGTTTGCTAGGCTAATGAGGTGGCAGACTGCTCACACTGCTCCCCCCAGCTCTGCTGACACGCAGCGAGGCCTGTGGCCTCGCGTTGGTCTTGGTGCCACAGGGTGCCTCCGTTGGTTCGTCGTTCAGAGCTGCGGCGGCTTCGCTAGCTTCGCAAGCCATTGGGCGAGAGTTTAGCCCTTGAGCTTCCTCCAGCTGTTACGTTGGGGCGTTCTCGCTGCTGGTTTTTGCTGAGTTGAGAGACCAGCGGGCTGAGCTGTGTCCACTTGCTGAGGTGGATCGCCTTGCTTGGAAATGCCTGGGGATGGACCTCGGGCGGCTCTCTTCGCTGACCCCCTCAAACACTCCAGCAAAGAAACGAGGACGCCCCGCCCCTTGCTTTCGCGCACTCAGTGGGTGGCATTCTGTCCCCTGTAGGCTCTCGGGGTTCTCGGCTTGCGGACGTGACTTGCTTCTTTGGCGTTCGCAAAGTTCTACGGGCGCGAAGAATATTATCAAAGGAAGCTAGCTACTGTGCCAAGAGAGAGTGTGCTTTTTTTTGCTTGTTTTCTTTGAAAACAGGGCCCCCCCCTCTACCAGCCTCCCCCACCACTCGTGGCCAACAGCTCGCGGCGGTTTTCTTCAGCTGCCTCCAGCCTTTGGCCAGTTTGAGTGAGGTCGTCTTGGTGACGTGAGGGCCTTGCGCGGGATCTTCTTCATGAACCCCCATCAGTGTGCTTCTTCCTTGGCGCCTGACTCTCGCAAGTGGTCCGCGTGACAAAATTGCGCGGAGGCGTTGCGCCAGGCCCCAGCGCGCGGGCTGCCTTGCGGCTGAAGCGTCACCAGACCAGGCAAACCCGTTCGCCATCTTGGCGCGTATGCATGAGGGCAGAGCCATGCCGCAAGCATCACCATCGGGAGAGTGCGCGGAGTGTGCAGCATGGAAACCCGAGAAAACAACAAGAGAACACCACCGCAAAGCGGCGCCAGCTTCTTCCCGTGCCGTTCTGGAGGGGGTGGGGGGTAGCTAGGTGGCGGCGGAGTCGTTCTGCAAGGTGGGCCGAACGCCGTAGAGCTGTCCAAATTAGTCCTCCCGCGTAGTCCTCCCAGCTATTATAAGGGTGGCCCTCTTGCTTTCTTTTGAGTTCGATGCGCCATGTCGTGTCATGTGCCACTTGTCAGGCGCGTGCCACTTCTTTGTCACGTGTGGCCCCCGGATCGATCAGTGACCTCTGGATCGATCAGGGGTCCACGGACTGATCGGGACTCCGTGGGCCGATCAGTGGCCCGCGGAGGTGGAGCGATCAGTGATCGGCGGCCCGATCATTCGTGGCCCGCGGATCGATCAGGGATCCGCGTCGCGATCAGGGATCCCCGGCCCGATCAGTGGCCCGTGGGTCGAACGGTGGCCTCGGGATCGATCAGTGACGTGATCCAAGGGTCGGCCAGTGATCTGCGGAGCGATCCGGGATCCGTGGGCGGATCAGATCAGTGCTCCGCGGATCGATCAAGGGCTCGCGGATCGATCAAGGCTGCCCGAATCGATCGAGCAAGACTCGCGGATCGGCCACCATCTGCAAAGGGCGACAGCCTCAAGGCGTTGGGCCTCCTCTACCACTACACCCGAGCCGTTAGCCGCACACGCCTCACGCTCGAGCTACCACCTGCCCGCGCGGGGCACTGCTACCTTCGGCACCCAGCACGCGCGCGCTCAAATTGGTATTGGCACGGAGCTGCTGCTAGCTGGCCAAAGCATCCGAGCCAGCTGCCCAAGGCTCGGCTCTTAAGCTGGCTGGCCGTGGCTTCTAAGGTAGCTGGCCAAAGCTTTTGAGCGAGCTCGCCGCGGCTTCCTTCCAAGCAGCTAGCTGGCTGCAGCTTCTGAGCTAGCTGGCTATGGGGCCCACTAGCTTACCAGTAAGCTAGCACACTGGTCAGACAAGGCTTGAGAGCTGGCCAGCCAACGCTTCTGAGCTAGCTACCCAAGGCTCCCAAACTGGCTGGCCATGCCTTCCAAGCTAGCTGGCGGTGGCTTCTGAGCTAGCTCGCCACGGCTTCCAAGCTAGCTGGCCGCGGCTTCTAAGCCAGTCGGCCACGGCATCAGCTGGCTCTTGAGTGAGCTAGCAGGCTGCAGCTGGCCAAAGTTCCGGGAGCTAGCTGGCCAAGGCTTCGGAACTAGGTAGCTGCGTGAGGCTTCTGAACTAGCTGGCCAAGGCTTCTAAGCTGGCTGGCCATGGCTTCTGATCTGAGCTCGTTGGCAGTGGCTTCTGAGCTAGCTCGCCACGGCTCCTCCTGAGCTAGCTCGCCGCGGCTTCTGAGCTAACTCGCCGCGGCTTCTGAGCTAGCTCGTCACGGCTTCCGATTTAGCTGGCCACCGCTTCTAAGCTAGCCGGCCACGGCATCCAGCAGCTTCCCAGTAAGCTAGCAGGCTGGCCAAGTCTTCGGAGCTCGCTGGCCATGGCTTCTGAGCTAGCTGCCCGAGGTTTCTGAGCTAGCTCGCCACGGCTTCCATTTCCAAGCTGGCTGGGCATGGATTCTGAGCTGACTGGCAATGGTTTCTCCTTCTGAGCTAGCTGGGCTTGAATTCTGAACTGGCTGGCAATGGCTTCACCTTCTGAGTTACATCGCCATCCATGGCTCTCAGGCCTTGCGTTGCTGGCTGCGCCTTCTGAGCTAGCTCGCCACGGCTTCCAAGCTAGCTGGCCGCGCCTTTTGAGCACGCTCGCCGTGATGGCTTCCAAGCTGGCCGGCCGCCATGGCTTCTGAGGTGGCTCCTGAGTGGCCCCGGCTTCTGAGCTCGCAGGCTGTAAAACCCATTGCCAAGCTGCTTGGCCTGACAAGCAGGCAATGCTTCAGAGCTATCTGGCCAAGGCTCCAGAGCTAGCTGTGCAAGGCTTCGGAGCGAGCTGGCCAAGGCGCTGGCCAAGACTTCCGAGCTGGCACGAGCTTGCTGGCAATGGCTTCCCTTCTAAGCTAGCTGGCCGCGGCTCGTAAGCCCGCTGGCTTAGCGCTTAGCCATCAGCGTCACCAGTTTGCTATCCTTGCAGCTGCCAACTTGCCAGCCTACTTAGCCAGGGCCACCGTCTTGGCCTAGCGACGGCCAGCACGCTGGCTGGGCCATAGCAGTAGCCAACCTACTAGGTAGCTTAGCCACAGCTGCAGCCAGCTTGCCGGGCTTTCTAGCTTTGACGGGTGGGGTTAGCGGCTTGGTGCGTTGGTAGTGTCAGTCTGTGTCTTATCCGTCTAGCTGCTAACCTATGCCCAGTGCAGCTGGCCCTTGATGGGCCCGCTTTCTAGGCATGTACTTACAGGACATTCATATCAAATCCACCACGAGCATATTGACAGAGCCAGGCTCATTTCATAAGGGTACGCAGGTGCTTTTAAAAGTTGGTAGGCGGGCTCCCCTTCTCACGCGACCCGTGATGTGGTGGTCGCTGATTATTCAGCAAGAAAGATTATTGCCTGCACCTTTATGGCATGGCGAAGAAATTTTTTAGCTAAATTAGGCTAAGAAAGACCTTCTCTGCCTTCAGAGTGGCCAGATCCATTAGCTCCTTGAAGCATTCAAACCGTGCGCAGGGGAAGCCTTTGGCGGTAGTGTGTGACCTCCTTAGGGGTGCCTTAGGGGCTTGAAGTAGCAGCACGGTAGCGCCAGAGGCGGGGGGGGGAGATGCTGCCGCGTCTCGCGGCGAGCAAGGTCGCGGCCGTCGAAGGGTCCCACGGGTCCCAAGAAGGTACCTCCCGGGCCCGTTTCGCTGCATAGAAGTGCCGAAACTGCAGCCCAATTTCTAGTCGTGCCAGCGGGCTACTCTCTTAAAAAGTTAGCATTTCTGGAGGGGGGTTTATTGGGGTCCCAAAGTGGGACCGTTTGGGGAAAGGGTTGAAGGTGGTAGCCGGAGGACGTCGCAACTGCGCTCGGCCGTGAGTCCGCAGGCCCCTCCAGCCTGCTTCTCGACCCAACTGCGGACCACCCTGCGAGGCAAGGCCCCACCTCGTCCGTGCGCGCTGATCTTGCGGCTTTATTTGCTAGCCCCTTAGCTAGCTGCCTTTGCTTAGCCTTCCCACCAAAACCGGCAAGGATTTTTTAACTACAAGGAAAGACATTTTTTAACTATGCCGTAACCTTCTTCAAAGACAAGAGTCATCGATGGCCCTACCTTGTGAGCAGCGTCCGTGCACTTTCTTCATCTTACACGCGCAAAAAAATAGATTCTTGCACCCTCGCCGCAGGATTTGTTGGATTTGATGAGCACTGACCACGAGCTTTGGCGCATGTTTGACAGACTGACGGACGCCGCCAAGGCAACGGCAATGAAGACGCAGGTAAGGGCAGGCGATCACTGTTGTGTAGCATTATGGTTTGGGGTGTCGAATACATAGATACAAAGTCTCATGGCCACTATCATGGCATATTTTGCATCATCATACGAGGCCCGGAGTTGTGTGTCCGGCGCGGCGGGGTGAAGAGAGGAGAGAAAAACTGCGGGAACGGGGCGGCTGCCACATGATCTCGGCATGCTCGGGCTCGGCTCCGGTTCCCTCGAGAGGGGTTCCCCAGGCGGGCCCCCTGGTCGTGTGTATTCTCTAGTGGCGGGACTGGGGCTGCACGAGTGAGCGAGCGAGCCTGCGGCGCCTGAGCGACCGGGAGCAGGCTCGCGCTGCGGCCGCCGCTTGGCTTGCGCGAGTGAGCAAGCCAGCGGCCGCCGCCTGTGCGCTCGCGCGCGGGCGAATCAATCCCGGCCGCGCGCGACCCCAGCCGCTGCTGCACGGGGCAAGTGGGCAATCTCCGCGGCGCGAGGGCTAAGCAATCTTGGTCGCGCGCGATCCCCGCCTCTGCCGCACTGGGCGAGCGGTCAATCTTCACTGCGCGAGCGGTCGATCTCCGCTCTGCGAGCGTTCAGACAGTCTCCGTTACGCGAGCGGCCAGTCTCCGTTGCGCGAGCGGTCAGTCTACGCTGCGTGAGCGGTGAATCTCTACTGCGTGAGCGGTGCGCGTGAGTATGTGCTGCGCCCGCGGGTGAGTATGCGCTTGCCGCGCCCGCCAGCGACCCTGCGCCGGCCCTTCGTCCCACGCGTGGGTCGGCCGCGCGCTCCCGGGTGGTTCTGCGCCCCGCCTGCGGGTTAGTCTGCGACCTGCTTGCGAGTAGGTCAGACAGTGTGTGGCTGACGTGTCCGTGGATTTTTCTTGTCTGCCTGGCTGTTCTTGCCCGGCTGTCTTTGTCTGGCTTGTCTGGCTGTCCTTGTCTGGGTGTTCTTGTCGGGCTGTCTTTGTCTGGCTGTTCTTGTCTGGCTGTTCTTGTCTGGCTGTTCTTGTCTGGCCGTTCTTGTCTGGCTGTTTTTGTCTGGCTGTCCTTGTCTGGCTGTTCTTGTCTGGCTGTTCTTTTCTCGCTGTCTTTGTCTGGCTTTTCACCTCAGCGGCCTGATGGCTTTTGGGGGTTCGCTCCATGCTCTAGCTTTTCCTCGTTTTCATGTCCGCGCCTTCTATAGCAAAAAAGCTCGCGCCGCGTCGCCAGGTCTTGCCTCTTCAGCCAAGAAGTGCATGGCTTGCAAACAGTCTTAGGCCTGGCCAAGTGGTTCGGAATGAGAAAGGAGACAAGGAGACGAGCCCGCCAGGCGGTGGCCCTAGTCTGTTCTCGAAATGGTTGAGAAGTAGAGAGAAGAAGTAGAAGAAGGAGGGGCCGGCTTGGGAGAAGTTCGGAGCGTAATGCGCTTGGGGGTAGATGGATTTGCAAGTTGTTTTGTGCCCTCGGGTTCTGATAACGGGTCGGCGCTTGTTTCTTGTCGCAGGCAGTGCTTGACAGATGAGGGAAATTCGTCAAAGAGCTGGAACAGATACGCACAGCGACCCAACTAAAACCAAGCGGCCTCCAGTCTCCTTCTGAAACACTTGGGCCATCGGCTTAAGGTCTTGCGGATTCTTGCAATTTTACGCAAGGCCTTCAAAGATGAGCGCGGCCCTCGCGATTATCCGTCACCAATTGCCTGGCTCGCTGCGGCTACCTCTACCGCCAGCCGGTGAGTTTTGTGAAGTGGTGAGTCCCCACCTTCTGCGAGAAGCGGGCTGAGCGGCTTCGCCAGTCTCTTTATGACCATGGGTGACAACATAACACAGACCGTGAAGCTTTCAGGCTTCAGATGGGGGGACACAAATGGCTTGGCATGGCAATTGGCAAGCGTGAAGAACCAGAGCGAGGGGCAGGGCTTGAGGCTTCGAACAGGCGCCCACGCTTGCCACCCATGCCACCCGCGGAGCGGACCAATCAGACCCCTGAAAGCAGACCACCCCCCCAAGCGCCCGGGGCCCTCCGGCGTTGCCTCCCGCCAAGTTCTTGCGTGCTTGTGCTTCGTTCTTCTTGGGCTCAATCAATGCTCAACGCACAGCGTACGCGCGTCCTCTGCGTGCTTGGGTGCGCCTGAGGGGCACCTTGCGACGTGTAGCGCGCTCCGCTGCGTTGGTTGCCTTTCTTTCAATAGCCTCCGCCCATGGGCGGGGCGCCTTGCTTTCCAAGCGCCGCGCTCTCCAGTCGCCATCCCTTTGCCGCTATGTATTCAAAACCACGCGCCTGACGGACCCGCACGCGGCGGGCGTGCGTCACTCCCCGCCGGCCCGCGCACGTCGGCAGGCGGCTCGGTGCATGGCTTGGGTGTTTTCTGGTTGGGCATGGCTTTGGCGCTTTGTTTGTTTCTGGCTGGGCTCACTCTGATTCTGCTGCAGCCATCTCGCCGCGTGTTTTTCTTGGAATTCTGTGTCTGGGGTCACGCAAATTCTCCAAAACTTGCATGACATAACACTACAAAATCCCAAGAACAAAACCCACTTTACGACGGACAGCTGACCGCGCGCGTACGACTTGGCCCCGCGCTTGTTGAGCCGCAGACTGACCGCTCCCTCCGCCCGCCAGGCAACTCCCTTGCCATTTTCTAAGTGTATGGTAAGGGTTTGAGTCATCTGAAAGCCACGACCCCGCCTTCTCGTCACTAAGTAACCGCCACTCCTGAGGCGGTTGGCTGGGCGGCTTTGTGGCTATTCGTCTCGTGCCTTTCTTTGTTATTGTTTCGGGGCGCCCTTTCTGCTTGGGGCATATTGGACTGCCCCAGCTATACCACCCACACGCCAAGACTGCTACTGATTCGCTGCACCTTAATAATGACAATAACGGCGCGGGCGCGCCAAGTGAAGTCGGCCACCTCCAAGGCGCTAAGCCCCGCATCTTTTCAGGTGATCGCCCAGGCCATTTAATGCGAGGCATTCACGAGGAAGAGAAAAGCTGTCACATGCCTGCACCTTCGTCGGCTTGTATGGGTCGCGCAATTTGTTTCCAGCTGAAGAAACGCGCAAAGCCTCTGGCAGGTTCCTTCAGTTTTGTTCGCAGAGCTGCGCCCAGCTGTATAGCGTAGAGAGTTGGGAGGGCTGGGCGACTATTAAAAACCAAAGGCCATCCCCATCCGCCCGCACAGTCCCCCTCGAAAAAAAAGACTAAAGCTCGCTGCGCTGCGTCACTCTACGGCGTGAGCCTGTGCATCTCCTGGGGGCACTTTCCTTCGCCAGCGCTTTGCCTTGGTGTTTCGGCCGCCCTCAATATTCTTGCCTTGCCTCCGTCGTTGCGTTTACTTTGTCGCTCTATCTTCTAACTTGTGCAAGCGTCCAGGCATGTCGCGGCCATCTCGCTAGCATTAGCAGGCGCCCTCGCTTTGTTTCTGCGTCGCTTTTGTTGTTGTTCTGGCGCTGCTATGGAAACAAGGGAGAGGCGGGGCCAATCCCTCCCCGCCTGTTCGTTGGGCGCATCAAGTCAAGGCAAGCCAGGCGCCGCCCTTGTTTGTTCTTCTCTCTCTATCTCTCTCACAGTCTTCCCTCTAGGTCACTGCTGAGGCGATGCGCGCCAAGCTTACGCGCTGAATTAATTTTATGGCCGCGGCGCTCTCTCGGTCATGAGCTTCCGGCTTTTTGCTTCTGCTTCGCTAACGTCTCAGGTGCGCTGTTTCTCCGGGCCTTGTAATGTAGCCCCACGCCGGGGGACGCCGCTGGCTGGGGGCTCACTGTCACACGAGCTGCCTTGAGGCTCTTGCTGCGTCATTCAACCTCATGCGCGCACAAATCACCGCAGGCAGGCAAGGCCCGGCCCCTGCTGCGTCACGCTGCTCCAGACATAGGCTCCCGCCTGAAGTTGTAGCCGCTTCGCGCTCTTCTGGGCGCTCTCTTTGGCCTTTCGCGTGCCACAGTTCTGGGCGTCGCTTGAGGCGTCACGCGTCATGCGGGAGCCTTGGGGCATTCGTTTGGCCTTACGGGGGGGCCCCCTCTATGAATGGCGCCGGCCAGATTGGCTCACTGGGTAAGTGCTTGCACCCCGCTCCGGAGAGTCTCTGGCCTGAATCTTGGAAGGGACTCCCCCAACTGGCAGGAAGGTGGCGCGTCAGGCCGGTCGCCGCCCCACACCCAGGGGACTCGGCCGCTGCGCCAGACAGTGCGGGGGGATGAGACCTTGGGGAGCCCCTCGAGCAGCTGGCGGCACGTCGCCCACGCGGTCCATCGTGTGGGGAGCCTTTGGCCTTAGCTGGTGGACGGCACTCGCCTGCCGAGTAGCTGGGTCGGGTGATGCATAAACACAAGGGGCGCCACCTGGGCAAATTCCGTGGCTGTTTTTGTCGGTCTTTCATTGTTATTCTTTGAGATTCTCCCGCCCCCTTCGCATGCTGGAGGTTGCTCCGCGTGGGTGCTTTCTGTTTCGGGCGGTCGGCTGGGCTTGCTATGGTTGTCTGACTGTCGTGAAGGGTCGCCTTTGTTTCGCTTTCGTTGTTGGATGGTCTGCAAGTTTGCTGGGCTTGTCTTCGGGGAGCGATGGCTCGTAGTGTCAGGCCGGGTCGTGCGTCGGGGCGTGCTGCTGGGGATGTTGCGCCTGGTGAGTGTAGTGCGGCTTTGCCGCTTGGGCGTTTCGCTTGCCTTGCATTCCTCCCCCGGGAGCGCCGGGCGGCCAGGGCGACCGGTAGGCTTGGCCCTTCTTTTTGGCGGGAGGGAGCTGGCGCCACTGAGGACACTGCGCATCAGACTTTTGGGTGGGCGGGCTGCTGCGCTTTGAATATTGTGGCATGTCGCAGGGCATTTGTTTGGGTGTGTTTGTTAACGTGAGGTAAGGGGTGGCGCTATGTTTCACCTCTAGCCACACCCACAAGCGTGGTCGTGTGAACACATGAAAGGCTGCCGTGATACCGGCAGGCGGTCCGGGTGTGCGGCGCAAATAACCGCGGGCATGCGATATAGATGGCCGGGGTGTGTTAGCCTTAGGGCCGGCTCCCTTTTTGAAGAATGCACTTTCTTAGCGCGCAGTCTGGGAGAGTCACGACAAGAGACAAGCGAAGAAGCACAACAGAAACACGACACGAAAAACGGGAGCCGAGCGGGGCCTTCTTGGAGACGCTACCCACCTCAGAAGACCACGCGCGGGGGCGGGGGAAGGCGGGACCGCCAAGCCAGGAGGCCCTCGGGTTTTTTGATTGGTTTCGTGTTCGTGTGGTCTTAGGGTTTAGGGCTTTGCGGTCGGTTTTCTGTTCTTGTGGTTTTGGGGTTTAGGCTTTTTGTGTCGGTTTCTTGTTCGTGTGGTTTCAGGGTTTAGGCTTTTTGTGTCGGTTTCTTGTCTTTGTTGTTTTAGGGTTTAGGCCTTTTGCGTCGGTTTCTTATTCGTGTGGCCTTCGGGTTTAGGCTTTTGGTGTCGGTTTCCTCTTCGCGTGGTTTTAGGGTTTAGGCTTTTCGTGTCGGTTTTCTGTCCGTCTGTTTTAGGGTTTAGGGGCAACGCCTTAGGGCTTAGGGCTTTTGGGCGGGTTCCGGGGTCTCAGGGCTTGCCCCGCCCTCACCTAGGCACCGTTTTGGCAGTCTCCTTTGGTGCTGCTTGCGGCAGGGTGCGGATTTCGGAAGAGTTGGCGCTTATTTTCAAAAAAAAAAACTCCGGAAAGCGCAACACTTTCGAACAATAGACACCCACAGGCGCACCCCTCTGCCCACCCCCTTGGCGTTTTGGCTTGGTCTTTTGCCGCTTGCGGCAGGGTGTGGATTTTGGAAAATTCAGCGCGGATTTTCCAAGTTTTTCCTTCCCAGAGAGCTCCTCCGCAAACGAGAAGCCCACCAGCCAGCCTTGGCCGTGAGCTCTAACTATCTCAGACGTACGGTCGGGAGCTCTTTGGCTTTTTTTCCCAAAATTTTTACGGATTTTCGATCTTTTGCCAGGTTTGCGACATCAGAAATTTACTGCACAAACAAAGCAAGAGGGCGGGGGGCACTCGCGCGAGAGCTTGCAGCACCTAACAGCTAGGGCTGGGGGGGCTCTCTGAGTGGGGGCAAATTTTAGGGAGGGCTGTCGCGGGTTTTTTTGCTTTGGCTTCGCTCGTGGCTCTCTTGGGGCCGGCACCCCCCGCAGGGGGGAGCCGTGCACCATGCTGGGCGGGCTCGCGTTCACTTTCTGCACATTCACAGGGCTCGCGGAAGGCGGTGCCACTGCTGCCAGCACGCCCCGGCATGCTTGCCGCCGTCGTGGTTTTCGTGGTCTTCCAAGGCTGCCCCACAACAGCGCCGGGCGCTTGCGCGGATTGCCGTGGCGGTTGAGAGCGTCCCACCCTGTGGACCCGCAACCACAGCAGCGGGCCCCCATCCATGCGATGCCCCTGGGGCGAAGGTCGTCTGGACGCCTCGGCCACCTTGCCCCTGAGAGAGTGTGCTAGGCAGCGGGCGTGGGCGGGTGCCGGGCCCATGGCCTTAGATAGAATGCCCACGACCCTCGAGAGAGAGCGCGACCGCCTCAAACACCAGAACAACCAAAAACATGACAGACAGCCGAAAACGGCACAGCCAAAAGCGGGGCAGCCAAAGGGAGGCGGGAAAGCCAAAAGCAGGACAGCCAAAAACGAAACCGACAAAAACAAAGCAGAGGGCTTGCCTTTCTGCCATTCTTAGAGGGGTTTGGGGGTTGTTGAAACATGTCCAAAAAAGGCTTGCTTCCCCGTTTTTGGGTGCCGGTTCCGTTTTGAGCGGTGGCCCCGTTTTTGGCTGTCCCGTTTTTGGCTGCCTTGTTTTTGGCCGTCTTGTTTTTGGCAGTCTTGTTTTTGGCTGTCTTGTTTTTGGCCGTCTTGTCTTTGGCTGTCCCGTTTTTGGGTGTCCCGTTTTTGGCTGTCGTGCTTTCAAAAAGCCTCCCTGTCTGCTTGGGCCAGCGGCCGCGCGCCGACTGGCGCTGGTGGTGCTGGCGGCCAGGTCCCCCCCGCGCTGTGGCGGTGCACTTTGGAAGACCACGAGCACCACGACGACGGCGCCGAGAGGCTGCGCGAGGCGCTGGCGTTACCTGCAGCGAGCACTCTGACGATGCTGAAAGAAAACGCAAATCCTTCTGGTATGATGCGCGGCTCCCCTTTGCGGGGGGTGCCGACCTGCAGCGCCCCGCCATCTCCCTCGGGCGCCCGTCATTGTTTTGGAGTCTTTCTCGCCCGTTGGGTCGCCGTTGGCGGCCGGTGGAGGCGGTGGTTGTTGCTGGTGGTTACTGCTGCTTTTGGCGTTGGTTCCTCCGTAAGGTAAACTGGTGAGGCGAATGACCCCTAGAAAATCAAGCAAACGCCGGCCATGTGCGCAGCAGTTGCGCTGTCAGCGTGCACCTGCGTGCGGCACAAGGTGGCCCGCTAGGTTGCGGGCCGCGTTCGGTTCGTTTGGTTGCAGTTTTCTGCCCCTCTTTGAAGGGGTTGCTTAGTTAAGAGCTGGGAGGCTGTCTGCCCCTCTCCAAGAGGTTTCCGCACCGCGGGGGGCCGACAGTATGAGGGGCTGGCCCTGGCTTGTCTGTCGTCTCTGGTGTGTGAGGGAGGCCGAGTCGAGCTCTACTCGCTGAGGGGTCCCATCGGCGTCGCGAGTGGCCGACTCGTCGAGAGATCGATCGCGACACACCTCGACGGGGGGATCCACGTCGACCGCCTGCGGGATCTGTAGCCGGAGCGACTCGGCGAGGGATCGGGTAATCTGTCAAGAGATCGGTAGGGAGTTCAACTGGCAGCCTAACGGCCGCCGAGCGGACAGGCCGCGAGATGGAGCGACGGGTCGCGAGGTCGGCAGCTCGGCCCGTCGACTTGCCGAGGGTGTCTGTCTCAGTCGGCGCCGCGTCTGCGGGTAGCAGATCTGTCTCAGTCTGCCTTGCGCATTCTGCTCAGCGTTGCGCTTGCGAGCGAGTCTGGCCTGGGCTACGCCCGTGAGCGAGGCTAGCTGCTCGGCGTGCTCGATGAGTGTTGTGCTTGCGGGCAAGTCCGTCCCGGACTCGGTCTGCTCGGCATTTTGCCCGTGCCCGAGCCTGCCTCGGGCTGCGCTGTGCCCGCGAGCGAGCGAGTCTACTTATCTCAGTGGGTGTTTCGCCGGGAGGCGCGTCGGTCTCACCTTGTTCAGGCAGTGTTGTGTGGCTTTGTGTTGTCTCCGTCTGCAGGTATTGCGCTGACAGGTCCGCCTGGCCTTTCGTGTCGGTCTGCGTGGTGCCAGCGACGAGTCTGCCAAATTTAATAACCTTGTCTGAGTCTGTCTGTGTCTGCGCTCGCGAGCGAGCCGGCCCCAGTCTAGCTCTTCCGCCGCGCGAGTGTGTGGGCCTCTCTGTGTCCCAGTCGGCGCTGCGTGAGTGAGTCTGCCAGCCAGTCAGCCTGCGCCGCGTGGGTGAGTCTGTTAGTGTCAGTTTGCGTTGCGCGAGCACGAGCAGGGAAGCCGCGCCGCGTGAGCCGTAATCATTTAGCCACCTGACAGCCTGTATGCTGGTGGAATGGGTGTGGTGTGTGATGGGTGGCCCCGTCTCCTTGGGAGCTATTCTCCCTTGGCAGTCCAAGCTAGGTTCTACCTTTACAAGCGTCGAAAAAATTGCGAGGAGGACAATGACAGGGGCTTTCTTTCCCTTTTCGCGTAATAGACAATGAACGGCGCGAAACAGGACTAAGTAGGCGGGGCAGGACTAGTAGAGTCAGGGCGTCAACATCGAGAGGCACTTATCGTGAGCCCGAAGACGGTAATTAACATTCCAGCAGGCTTGTCACATAGGTTGTTGCGTCCCTCCTAAAGAGCTAGGTAGACGGGCCGCGGTGCGCTGCTTTTCTAGGTGAAGGGCGCCGCGAGGTCGCGGTCGTGGCTCCGAAGCATCCAGGTATCGGCCACGGCCACCAATCCATGGCGCCTTGGCCCTAGAAAAGCAGGGCCAGCCAGGTTCCCTCATTTTAGGACGTGAGCGCAAAAACTCAAAGACAAAAGTGAACGCCAGAGTTCAGGTTCGCGCCAAATGCTCACAAATTAATATGCTCCAGCGCGCTTCCCCTTTCGTCTACTTGCTTCCGTGAGCATCGAAGGCTTTTCTCATGTACTCGAACAGGGGCACACTGACGGGCACGTGTATGACGAAGAGCTTCAAGCGATTTTTGCAGTGTTGCTCTCGCTCAGATCCCAGGTTATGTCGGTCCAGAAAGTATGTCTGTACTTTGACAACCTCGGAAAGGGAAGAACGGTACTTCTACCACCATGCGGCAATGGTTCGGATGAATGTTTCCACTGCTTCGTTGTATTTTATTGGTGCCAAGTTGAGGATGGACGTAGAGGCTGTATGGTTCTGGTATTTGGTAACCTGAATTTGATGCTAAGGGTTCTCTTCTTGTTTTCCCTTAGGATCAAACTCAGGCTACCAAATACCGGAGCCAAACAGAGGTAGACTGCTGGCCTGCCTCAGTCTATAGATACAGTCATGGCGGATTTTTCGACTAACACTGCTGAGGGCGGCGTGCCCGTCGGTAGAAGCCGAGATATGCTAGCTTAGTTGTTCACTTTCTCGTTTATACGATCCCAGCCAGGTGGCTATGACTGTATTCTGATGATATGAACCACACAGGACGAAGACGATAGGAGCCTGAGTAAGTGGCTGTGTCCGTCGTTGGTGATGATTGACGAGGCACGCACGAGCATCATAATGCGCTGCAGAAGATACGTGGACGCGAGGCCAGCGCTGGTATTACTTTTTGCATGTATCTGCATTTAGTGCGTATTCAATTCCTTGCAGTGGTTCTACAAGTCATTGCCTCATGCTCGTTGGGTGAGCACACTCCTGACAGCGTTGCTGATGGGCGCAGGGCGTCTACATGGGCGAGAGTGCTGGGGATAGACTGAGCCAACGGCTAGCAGATGTAAGCTAAAAGCTCAGTACTCGCTTCGGGTGAGCTAGCTTCGCTCTAGTGCCGTAGCATGCATTGGGCTTGGGGTGCGTGCAACGAAGACTCAACTGACAGACAGCGAAACTAACAAGGGGAAGAAAACCAGCGTGCAGGGCTGCCGAGGTGATCTGCTGCAGGCGGAGTCCAAGCGTGAGAGGAAGGCGGGCTGGCCAAGGACAACTCACCAACAACGCGCCCCAAATCGTGCTGGCACAAAGGCAACCCTCTCAGCACCGCGGACAGGATCCACCCAAAAGGGAGACGGATGAAGCCGAACCAAACAAAGAACGCGGGCGCGGCTGCGGGCAGCAAGTGCACAAGGGCCATGCTGGGAGAGAATTGAAAGCGGCTGGACCGGTCGCACGCGCCTCCGCGGCGCTCGATTGAATTCGGAAACCGGGCCAAGACTGGACGGGAGGGTGGGGAAAAGGCCGCAGCAAGCCCTCGGTCGCGGTACTTGGCGAAGATTCGCGCTTTTGTTTTATTCCACTCTTCGGGGGCGTCGGTCGGACATCGTGAAAGATAACAAGCAGAAAGCCACTCGCTTCGCGATCGGGTGCACGGGCTCCGCATGCTTTGGCTCCGTAGAATTGGCACGGAGGGAAGCGCCACCCAAGTCAGCGACGGACAGCGGGAGGGGAGATGGGCCAACCAATAGGCAGGGGCGCTGAGGTGAAAGAACAGCGGCAGGCGGATCAGTCACCGAGCGCCAAGCGTGAAGAGGGGGAACAAGGTCGGCGCGCCCGCTGCGCTGAGGGCGTCAACTATCAGCCCAGCTGACAGAGGGCATCGTGTCCCAAGCCGTGCCGGCTTGCAGGCATGAAGGCAACCCGAACCAACGCAGGCTGAGCACGCACTGACTCCCGCCCCCCAAACGCTGCCGGCGCGCCTTAATAGCAAAAATCTTGCCACGGCCCCGGCCTGCCGTCCAGAAGAAGAGGGAGGGGGGAGGCCTACCTGATCGATGGATGCCACTCTGCAACCAAGGGGGCAGGAAGGGTGTTCTGCAATACTCCCACACCTGACAGAGGAGCGCGCAGGGACAGGCCCTCAGGGACAGCGCAAGCGCGCCTGGGGGTGACATCGAAGAGAGGCGCGCCCGCCTCGTGTTGGGGCGTGGGATGCAAAGAGAAAAGGAGGCAAGGCAAACCCCCGGAAAATCTTTCGGCAAGGCCAGCCATTGGGGTCGGGCGGCTGTGGCTTTCTCGTGGGAGTGGGCTCGCCGCTTGCTTGGAGACCTGGGTGGCTTCGTCTTTCGGGTGGGCCGCGAAGTAGGAAACGAGAAAAGGCACTGACCAAGAAACCGCTAGAAACAGAAAAAAACTAAAAGTGCCCTCAACCGTTAACCCAACACCGCGCCCCTTATTAAGAGCGGGGCGCAGGCCCCACTGTAATAGGAAGACCACGAGAGCGCTCCAGGCGCTTGCTTCTAGAGCAAGCGGATGCCTTCCCCCGGTCCCACCTGATGGTCGTCGGACCCTGGGGAGCGGCCTCCCGGACTCCTTGCCTCGGTGGGCTTGGCGCTCCCCATAGCAGTGAGAGGCGGCCATCTTTGTCGCACCTTGGTCAGAAAGACCGGGACCATCCAACCAAGGACGCGGCACTGGAGCAGAGGCGTCGGCCTCTGCCTCGGGGTGTCCCTTGCCGTGGTGCATCGGCTGAAGGTGGCAGCCAGCCTCCCCTTGAACGTCCTCGAAAAGGGTGCGCGAAAAAAATTTTTTGGGCACCAAAGGGGGCCAGCCCCTTGACCTCCTCTTTTTTCATTCTAGCGCTTCGGACGCGACTAGCATCTCCATTCTAGCGCTTCGGGTGACCCCCGTTGCGCCACCCCCTTTGGCCCCATTGATTCTAGCGCTTCGGACGGGGCTCGAATGGAAGCGCCTAGCCGCCCGCCAGAGCGCCGCAGGCATGCGGGCAGGCGCTACTAACTGCCTGACGATCTCTCTGCCAATGCGTTGCCAAGTGTTCGCAATGTGTGAGTTGGTACATTCTTGGAGACTCCAGACGCATCGATTGCGGGGGCCCTCCCATTTCTTGGGCGCCCTCCCTCCGGTGTTCGGGTCCTCTTGCTGGTCGGTTGGCGCTGGCAAAGCGTTGGGGCTTGCCGGTAGAGCGGGGCAAGCTCGTGCGCAGTGGCCCTTGGCCCGCGCGTGGGGCAGGGGGAACTCAGAAACGCAGCAGAGGCGGCTCCGCCTGAGTGATCGGATCGTGCTGCAGCGCGCAGGGCGAGTCTCAAAGTGCATTTTTAGCTTATTTCTGATTCTAGCGCTTTTCCCTTTAGTAAAGGGGCTACGCGATGGCGTGGCATGCGATAGCTGGCACCCCCCAGGAACGGCGCTCGCGGTAGAGATAGGAGGCTCCGTTAGGGGCCGCCCTACTCTACAAGGCTTCGGCGGTCTCGTTGAGGTGGGGAGCTGCAAACAAAGACGGAAAAAGGGGCCTACCGTCTAGGCGATGGCGGGTGCCTTCAAGAACCACACTGCCAGCCTAGCTTGAGTTTGAGACCCCCTCAAAGAAAAGCCGTTCTTCGGGGGGGATCTAGCTAGGCGGCTGCCCTCGGGAGAGCCGAAAAGGCGGCGAGGGTGGGGGCTATGGTGGAGGCTTTCTCGGCTTACGCCATAAGAAGCGGAGAAGAACGGCCCGCGAGCTTAGGCCCGCCGGCGCGCACGCTCAGCAGGCACTCCATGACGCCACTACAAGGGTGGCAACAAGCGGCGATCCCTCTCAGGAGCAACACCGGGACTGCACATGAGGCGGCCTCAGCCTCCAGCCTTTGGGATCGGGTCGGGCCTAGTCATAGGACGAGATAGATGAGTCTGGAACCGTCTCCCTGACACCCCTCGGGGATTTGCGACCAGTACTTATGATCTTTACCGCAAGGACCGACGCGTGAGATAGATCGTTGACCAATCTCGGCACAAGGCCCCGCGAAAGACCCGACGCCAGCTCTTGCTCGCGGACTTTCGCCCAGATGATTAGCTAACGCGTAGACGCAGTGGCATTGGCTGCAGTTCGTCACTTTTCTTAGGGTCGGGCGTCTGTTGCGGCCAGGAGAGCATCAAAGTTAGATAATTCATAAGGTAGCCCAATGGCTACGGTTTGGATGATGCTCCTCATCATCCTCAGCGATGTCGCCCCTGTCTTGTGAACTAGTGCTAATCTGCACAAGCACAGGATAAACCTGAGAAGAAAAAATATTTGGTTTCTGTTGTTGTTGTTAAGTACGAAGATCCCTGGGGCTTAGTGCCTTTCATCTGCCTAAGCTAACTAGATCCGGGCCAACTATTTAACTCATCAACTTGATACTTGCTGCACACGTTTAAGACCTTAAGACTTTGATCTTGTTGCTGTTGTTGATGATGTTGCTGATCCTGATGGGGTTGATCTTCGTGCTGCTGTCGTTATGATTTTCTTGCTCCTGTTGTTTCCTTGATCATGATGCTCGTAAATCTTTAAGCTGTTGATTTCCGTACTGGTAGGATGATCCTCATGCTCATGCTTGAGATGATTCATAGTTTGGGGATCGACGTTCCCCCCCTCAAACGCAAACTGAACGATGCGCAACGGGTTAGAGGTAACGCCCTCCACCAAACTGAAGCGACCGAGCAGAAAACGAAAGAAGGAAAAAAAAACAATCCTACCAAGGCTAGATACTCTAAACTTTACACTTTGTCGAGTCAGTGAGTACACTTAGCCAGTGGCTTAAGGTAAAGCTTAAGTAGTTCACTTTTGTGGTTTTACTTCTTTGCTTGTCGTCAGTAGTTTCTTGCTTTTATTGCTTTAGCTGTTTAGTTATATCTTCATTAATTATTTTTGGCGTTTCGTACTGTGTGGCTCTTGCTGTTAGCTAAGTAATACGGACTAAGCTAGGAAAATGTAGTAGCAAAACTTAACTTTTGAGAAAGTGGGAAGTATTATAATACAAGCGCGGATGATGTTGCTGAAGATGTTAAACTTGGCAAAAGATGGAGTTTGTTGCGTGTGATTTGAATGACTTTGAAGATGTAAGACATGCCTTCCTAGTATGGAACGGCATAGGCCAGAAAACAATAAGTAGGAAGGTTAGCATCTCTCTTCATGTTTTGAACATGGAAGATGTTTTTGTAAAGCAGGCCATTGGTCGAACTCTTAGTCAAACCGTCACTCCTCTGCGTGCCCGTTGGAACGTAACAAAGACGCTGCGCGTCGTCCCGCACTTGCATGTAGCGTAGGGCTACGTGCCTACTCTTTTTAGGTACGTCACTAAGGTTGGTTTTCTTTAAGCTAATTATAGCACTACGACTATCACGGTACAGAGGTCCTTTATCCTTGTCTCCTTCTCCTGTTTCTGGTACACCTCGAAGAAAGCGGCGAACTGCATGGATGTCTTCCGAGACTTTGAGAAGGTCCGACTGGGCCACAATTTCGGACTCGCACGTAGATCCACTTCGTACCGTCTGGGCCGTGGATTTCCACACAACTGGACAGCCATAGTTTAGTAGTAGACGACTACACCGGGAACCGATTTGAATTCGAGCGTAGAAGCAAAACTTGCATCGCCAAAACTCTGGATGGGGTGAAAAGACTTCGGCTCGAACTTCTTCTCCTGTTCAGTCATTTCGTTGATCTGAATATTCTCCGGATGGCGATAGAGGTCCTTGAAAGGGTTCTGGAACTCCTGTTCTTGCTGGGGACTATAAACTAATCCTTCGCCCAAAGATCCCTTGACGTATCGTAGTACACGCTTACACGCTGCAGCGATTGCTTTGGTTGGCGGACGGTTTGCCGCACGCGCTAGACAATTCGCCACTTGAGCTAAATCGGGTCTGGCCACCGTAGCTGCCCACTGTAGGGAGCCGGTTACCTGCCGAGTGTTGAACTCGATCTGAGGCGAATCTTGGTAAAGTAAGAAGTGCTTCGTCGAAGGCTGGAGTCGGTAAGCTGCTGCAATTCTCCATACCCAACGTCTTGAGCATCTTCTTGAGGTAAGCCTCCACCGTGATCTTCGCCGACTTCTTTTGGGCATAATTGTAGAAAACGCCTGCCCCAAGCATGTCAAAGCGAAGCCAAGTGCCATCCTTATCGGTAACTTCATCCATTTTAATCTTGGATAACGGGTGTAGAGCGTGTAGCTTATCGATCAAATCGTTAGGAAGCTCCTTGTCCTTCGCGGCTAGAATGCAATCATCCACATAAACACTCAGCATCGCAATGAGTTCACCAGAAGAATCGCGCATAGTCCAAATGCCGGGGTTGAGTAAGCTCTCCTCGAAACCCATCTCCTGTAGGTCCTTGGCGTGCTGTTTCTGCCATAAGCGAGGTGACATCGGTAACCCATAAAGCGCCCGAAGTAAACTCCTAGCGCCATGGTCTTCCTGTCCATCGCGCCACTGTTTCGGCAGAGAGATTAGAACTGTGCGATCTATAGAAGCTCGAGTGGACGCATTTCCGACGTCATACGGGATAATGTCCCATCCTCGACGTGCTGCTTCGATAAGAGCAAGACGATTGCCAACTTGTGAAACCGTCGGACTGTATAACTCTTGATAGCCACCAGGATCCCATCGGTCACCTAGAACGACTAGCCGAGCTTTGAATCTACTGTCCCGTTTGCGGTTATACAGAATCGCAATCGCCGTCGGGGTTGCCTTGAGGCGTCCTTCCATCCAGTCTTTTTCCTCGTCCTCGCTTAGTTTCCTCCAACAGCGATACGCTTCCAGCTTCGTCCTTTCCAAGTCATCCGCTTCTATCCACTTCTGGTAGTGAGGGCTTTGCGGATTCATGGCGACCTTAGGTGGAACCGATCCTATGAAACCATCTTCATCCTGTGCAGCTAGCATGATTCCAGCACCAAGAAGCTCGCCTTTTTCTTTTTCTAGCTGACGACAAGCTTCCTGCGTAGCCACGTACGATGCTGCGAATTGTAGCTGGTCCAGAATGAAAACAGCAGTAGCTAACGTAGCGGAAGCGTTCTTGCTCTTCTTCCACCGAGGTTTCTTAAACCTGTGCTGCGGCATAGTGATCGGCGTCGTCTGGTATGCGTCACAACGTTCTAGCGGAGCTGACTTCTGCGCGCTACTAGATGCTAAAGAAGGTGCTGGAGGGATGTACTGCGGAACATCTTTACTGGAGGCAGACTTCTCTCTACTAGATTCTTGCGGTACAGAACGATCTTGGTCGTCTGCTGCTATTGCTGGACCGTATGCTATCTTCGTAACTGCTCCAAAGGTCGCTACTTTTCTGAACTTATTTTGAGCTTTTTCCTCGGTCGTGGTTGACTTACTTCTTTTAAATCGGGCTGGTTCCTTTTTAACTGGATCCCATGCCTCGATCTGTCCCGCGGTAACAGGCTCCTTGCCTTTAGTTTCAGGCTCCCAGATCGATGACTAGCTCGCACTTAGAACCCTTCAAGCTGCCACACTTTTCCCCAAGCACGCCCGTCTGCGACAAGGGTCGAGAACGAAGGATCATACTCCGGCATGCGAGCGGACGAATCATCTTCCAACTTAGTAATCTCCGGAACCTGGAGCAAGGCCGCGATCTTAGCGACCAATATACTCTCATGGAATTGCACATCGATCGCTTCGTAGACGTTGAACTTAAGACCCGTCTTGGTCCTGCCGTCAGAAACAATCCCTCCTACTATCCAAGCGGAGTTGACCGAACTGAAACCCAAAAACGCCCCTGGCTTGCGCCGGTCTGCAAAGACTTTCGTAGGAGTAGGGTGGACCTTGAAGAACACTAGACAACCGAAGCGGCGCCTGTGTTTAAGTTTTCCTTCTGCAGGTCTCATCGTCGTGATTGGGTCCTCTGAAAAATTCGAGAGGATCTCCAGAGGGCTAGCTTTTACCGCGCGCCGACGCCCTGAGTTGCTTTGCTCGTTGGACTTCGAGTTGCCCCCAGTAAGCGCCAAGCGTTTCTTTCTTCCGTCACTGATAATTTTCTGTGGGATTCGCTTCATGTCCCTGGGGATCATGTTATAAATTATTATTAGGTACTCAAGGCACCAGCACCACAATCGTAAGCCGACGCCGGCCATGCTGGCTCGCAAGTTCGACTTTAATGTCCCCACTAACCTTTCTACGACGGAGTTGCCTTGTGGCTTATAAGGAATACTGTGAAGCCCGTTCAGTTGTAGTCTGCTTGCTGTCGATCGCCACTCGGTGGAGCGGGGTGCGTTTTCGTTGTCCGACCTGATACCTGCAGCGATGATCTTCCCACTTGGAGTCATGTTCGTGCTTTTCGCGCCCAACTTCGTTCGAAGGTCCCCTATGATCTCCTTCAGAACTTTCGGGGCCAAATCTTTCGAAGAAATTCCTCGACCAACTGCGTACTCGGATGCGTCGTCAACAAATATCCAAGCTAATCGCGCTCCTCTGATGGAAGTTGGTTCTACTGGACCGAAGAAGTCGCACGCTGTTACCAAAAATGGCGGATTATGGAACTCTGCAGGTCGTTCCTTCTTGTGACTCACAGCTTTCGCCTTTTGCGTCGAGCAGTGCGGGCAGTCGACTTTGCCGCGCCTCTCGTCATACAGATGGCAACTGCGAAGGTGCTCGAGATACCGTTCTCGCTCAGACAGTTTACGCGTTAAGAGTGCTTCGATGGGAGGCTGATTGATGGCGCAATCTGTAGTCTCTACTTCTGGACAGAAAAGCCCATCCTCAGAATAGCACTCGTCGATTACAAACGAGCTACTTGCAGTATTGTCTTCGAAGCGCAGATCTTGCAAATATGGCAAGCCTCCTGCGGATTTCTGCAAATTCACCCGGGGCACACGAAGATACTTGTGCTCTAAGTGAGAACCTTCCGGAACCGCTCCGAGTACTACTCTCCATCCGGCTGAGTTCAGACCGCCGACGCTTATCAGTCGGTCTCCAGGTAAATCCTTGGCAAAAGTCGCTTTTAACTGACTGCCGAGCACGTTCGGCTTGAGGGTGCCGAATCGGCCTGGAACAATACCGCCAACGCCTTGAATCTTGGCTCTGGACTCTTCCTCGAGTGTGTCGAGGTCCGACTCGATTCGAGAGATGTGAAACTTTGACCCGGAGTCGATGGTCGCTCCATTGGAAAACTGACCTTGTAAAAACACTTCAAAACCATCTTCAACTTCTTCAAGTGCTGGCGTTAAATCCATCTTCGACTTCATTTTCATCTTCATCTTCTTCATCCTTTGCTTGCGCTGTTGCTCCCGTTTGGTAACAGCTTTTATAACTCCTCGGGTGCTGTCACTTACCCAAGATGGAATGTAGTTCGGCCACCAACTTACTTTCTTGGCTATGTCCATCCTCGCTCCTTCTTTTTCACTACTAGAATTACTATCATTAGAAGAAGTTAGTCACTGATTCTGCTTGTGCTTAGGGTCAGACTTTTTCGCGCCTTTTCCTTTGTCGTGCTTTCCGCCTTTCTTGTTGAACTTGTTCTTTCCCTTGTGGTTGGCGACCTTCGTCGGCGTCTTCCAAGGTTGACTGCAATCTTTCACATTGTGCGAGCGGATAGCTGCAGCTTTCTCATGCTGTTTGCCAATTGACTTGTAGTGATCAAAACACTTCTTGCAAAACTTTTCCTCTTGCTGCTGCTTGTAACCACCTTTGCCCCCCTTGGGACTGGACTTACCGCCTTGCCACGTACTTTTTCCTTTTCCGAACGATTTGCCAGTGACAAAAGCCTGCTGGACAGCTTGCTGCTGCTTCTGCTCATCGTCCAGAGCAGCGTAAGTTTCGCATTGTTTTTCCGAATCTCCAGCAGTGCGCACCATACGGCGGGTAAGCTCAGTGATGAGGAACTCGACGGAACCTTCAGCATGCGTGACTGCACGGCTTTGAGCTTGATCTGCAACCATCCTGGTCGCGGTTTGCGAAGTATCAATCTGCTTGATGATCTTGCGTCGAAGCTCCATGTCGAACGGCGGCCCCGCGGGAAACCGAGTAGACAACTGACCTAGCATGCGTCTCAGTTCTGCTGCGTAATCACGTAGCGGACCACCGTACTGCTTCCAGTTAGATCGGTTATACTCTTCAAACTCCACATCTTCTTGCGCTGCGCCCAAGCTGTTCACTTGCTTCTGGATATATTTCACGATATCCCAGGCCGTGTCGGTCATGCGCTGTTGACGAATCTCTTCGAGTACCGCGACGCGAATGCCGATGGATAAAGCATCCTTGATCGCCTTGGTCAAAACCGCAAACGATGCTTCTTCCTGTTCCGATAACCCTGGCAAAACTAATCCTGCTTGAGGTATGTAGCGGGCTTGAAACTGATCGCGAATGCGTAGTAGCTTACAAGCGTCGAAAATCTCATCGATGAAGATTTCAAACTGTCTCCTGTCCGTATACGTTTTTAGTTCGCACGTAAACTTGGCAGGCTTTTGCGGTTGTGGAGCACTGCTTTGCGCTGCTCCTCCTCCTGCTGCTGGAGGCTGTTGCTGTGGTGCAAACTGATGACCATTGATAAAGTCCTTGAAGCGTAGGATCTTTTCTGCTTTCGTGCCAGTGGTATCCAGGAAATACGTACTGAGTAACTGACTGACCTCCGGCACAGTTAGCGTAGACGTCACCGCTGTCAGCGGAGTACAATGGTAATTATTCTGGAATGCTGCCTGATACATTTCGGGGCGTGACTTGGTATCTCCTCCCCCGTCGTATAGGCTCCCCGGAGGTACTCCTCGCACCAGGAGGGTAGCTGCTACCCCACGGTCGAGGAGGTCTTGGCATTGCACTACCGGAGGCGGCATTATCGCTCTTTGCTCTGGCTCCTGTACAACAGCCAGGCAAACTGCCAAACAGCTGGATCCTTTGCTTTAACGTCACCAGAACTTTTTTTAAACTTTCAGCTTGGTAATGCCACTAGATACCCACTAGAAATTTTTCTTACACCACTAGACTCTTGCCGTTCAGGATTTTCTTGCTTTGCTCCCTTTGCCACTTTGAAAACCGTAAAGGGAGTAGCTTCCAACAGCTTGCGCAACCGTATCCCTATCGCGTCAACCAGAAAGGTGCGCCGAATTTCGTCGGTGTGCTCGTGTAAGGTTGAGAATATTTTTGTGAAGGTTGTGACTGTTTAACCCACTAGGAATTTTTGGCTTCCTCATTTGATTAACTGACTGATTGATTTACTTATTGACTGACTGAGTTAGTTAGTTCGTGACTTCTTGATTTATTTATTGAGTAGCTGCGTGACTGCTTGGTTTGTGGATTGATTGACTTACTTACTGCCTGGAATTCTATGCCACTAGAAAACTGGGAAAATGGGCCACCTTAAAATTTTCCCTGTGGGGTTTTTGTAGTAGCATAAGGTTAGGAGTTCGTTGGTCAATTTTGCATGAATTAAATCAATCAAAATTTTACTACCGTGCTCGCCCTCGTGCTCCTCGTCGTGCTTTCAGATCTCACCAGAAGACTCGAACAGAGTAGCCGCGTCGTATTTTTCTCGTGGTGCTTGGTATCCTCGTAGGTTTCTCGTCGTGCAACAGATTGGCTAGCTCTCAACAGAAAACTTTTTGATCTGTGTACTGCTCGCGTTTCGTAGTCGGTCATTTTCGTTTTCTCATTCAAAATTTTAGCTAATCAGCATTACAACACGACGAAGAAGAATAGCGAAATTCTTACACGTAACAGATTTAAAAACTCTGTTTCGTGTAGAGTTCAACTCTCTATAACCAGAAAAGAGCTCTAATGTTTTCAGTCTGTGGAAATAACTAGAAAAGCTCAAGATTAGCACTAGAATGCTGCGGCCAGGAGGGCACCAAAGTTAGATAATTCATAAGGTAGCCCAATGGCTACGGTTTGGGTGATGCTCTTCATCATCCTCAGCGATGTCGCCCCTGTCCTGTGAACTAGTGCTAATCTGCACAGGCACAGGATAAATTTGAGAAGACAAAATATTTGGCTTTTGTTGTTGTTGTTAAGTACGAAGATCCCTGGGGCTTAGTGCATTTCATCTGCCTAAGCTAACTAGATCCGGGCCAACTATTTAACTCATCAACTTGTTACTTGCTGCACACGTTTAAGACCTTAAGACTTTGGTCTTGTTGTTGTTGTTGATGATGTTGCTGATCCTGATGGGGTTGATTTTCGTGTTGCTGTCGTTATGATTTTCTTGCTCCTGTTGTTTCCTTGATCATGATGCTCGTAAGTCTTTAAGTTGTTGACTTCCGTACTGGTAGGATGATCTTCATGCTCATGCTTGAGATGATTCATAATTTGGGGATCGGCAGCGTCGTGGATGGCTGTAACACTGACGAGCAACACGCTCGCACACCCATGAAGGCGCACGCCCTGGCGATGTAGGTGCTTTGCGTGGCAGGTTTTTAGCTCTACACACCTTACAGGAATTCGGGCTCCGCGGTGAAGACGGCGCACTGGGTGATATTTGCTGCCATGGTTTGCCTGAGCATGCCCATGGATATGATTTTTCTCACATTGAGTATCCGAAGATGCTTGCGCGCGCGCGCGCAAAGCGTGAAGGCTCCGAGGATGCACACGGAAGCAAAGAAGGGAAAAGTAGCGGGTATTAACATTTGATGCCGCGCCGCTGTGTCTATCTCTGTTGTCTATGCGTTTCCATTTGGGTTACGAACGTAAGGAAGCGCTGAGTGCATGGAGGTCTCCCCTTTTTATTTCTGTGAGTGGGTAAATGAATGAAGCATGACTTGTGTTTCTAGAGCGTTTCGTCGGCGGAAAAACTTCAGTAGAGTCGGCTGGGCGAATAATGGCGACAACGCGACGCATCTACGCGCCCGCTGGAGTCAGGCCACTGCCTTCCACTTTGCTCGCGCTGTCCAACCGGGCTGAGGGTGTGCGCAATCGCTAGAACTACAACGCGGGCGCCCCCCGGTAGGGTTGACCTTTGGGGGAAGCTGCCCACCCCCCAACTCAACGAACCTCCGCCGGCCTCGATTGACACGCGCCGGGCCGCGTCTGTAGCAGCGCCTTTGTGCTGGACCGGTGCGCCGGCTCCCGTGTTGCCCCTGGCGCGGCGGCTTCATTGTGTGGCGGCGGCGGGTGCGTGGACGGTGTCGCGCGGCGTCGCGCACGCGCCTGGTCATGGTATGGGCCGGACGGGGTGGCCGTGCAGTGCTTCTTCGCGCCGGGGTGGATACGTGGATCCGCCGCGAGGCACGCAGACAGCCACAGGGTGCTGCCCCGCACCCCAGGCCTTGGGCTCGATTTGCCTAAGCCGTGACCAGCAGGGGCGCGGCAAGTCTCAGGAAAATCTCAGTTCTGAGACTGAAAAAAGTCTGGCGTTCGAGCTCGAGCGCCAGGATTTGAGAACCTTCGACGACGACCATGGCCAATTTCTGGGACTGTTCAAAAGTCGGGCGTTCGAGTCGAACCCCAGGGGTTTTCCCTGTCCAAAGACTGACGCAGCAGGGGCCACTCGTTCGGTCTGTGGACAGGAAAAAACCCTGGCGTTCGACTCGAGCGCCAGACTTTTGCCTCCTCTCAGAAATCCAAGGAGCCTGGCATCGGGGGTTTTGAAGTCCTGACGTTCGAGCTCGAACGCCAGACTTTTTGCAGGCGCGGGGCTGAGAATTTTCGGGGTTGAGGGGGTGCTTCGCTCGGGCTTGGAAGTTGGTGGCGCAGGCTCTGTTCTGTGTTTGTGCGGGATGCAATTATGGGCGGCCCGTTGTTGGGCTTGGAGCTCTTCCAAGGTCGCTTTGCGTACCAGTCGGCCTCTCATTGTCGTCCAGGGTTGGGGAGCTGAATTTCTTTGCGGCGTAGCGCGCTTGTTTCTGCTTGCTCGGGGAATGGGAGTAGCTGCTGGAGGGGTACGCGCTGTCCTCCCTGCTGGCCGTGTGCTCTGGGGTTCGGGGATTATGCTAAGGGCCACATGCTGGGGGGGCTCTTTATCGTGTGGCGCGATGACGCTCACCGGGGCGGGGCGTCGGCATCTTGATCCCTCTGCAGCCCTGGCGTCTTGTTAGGGTGTGCAGCGCTGTCCATGGGGTCGCTGCCATGCCCCTTCGGATCTTGTTGGTCTGGTTTCGGCTGGGCGGTTCTAGTTTCCGCCGTTTGAAGGTAAAAACTCCTGGGTGGATATGACTGAAGTTTTTCCGCCGAAATTAGGTGCTACTCCACGAGTCATGGAATGAAGATGAAAACTCACCCCGCAGGCACTCAGAAGCACTCTCACTCTTCACTCGCCACGCGGAGGGGCTCTCCTTATGGTTTCTTATGTTGACTCGGCTTCCCTTCAGGTTTATTCTCAACGCAGTAGCACCCTTTTCGGCAGAGGCGCTTTTTGCAGCTTATTGCTCTGGACGTAGCCGCTGCGCTGTGCGTAAGGGCTTCGCTGTGCATCTTGTGGCGCCGGCGCTTCTCTTACAATTTTGGCAGGCGCATTCCCGTGAAAATTCTGCTCGCCAATCCAGAATCCGGCAGCAGAATGCGTATGATGCTGTTGGCGAAGGATACGCTGACACGGCTGAGGAGGCCGACGATGGCCCCGCAGCGTTCATCCAAGCACAAGCAGAGGCAAGTATTGGCAGTGCGAAGGGGGGAGGCAGTGATGGCGCCGCGTCTTTATTTTTATGTCGGAGCGAGGCCAAGCCTCTGGCGCCTCGAAAGCTCGAGGCCTTTGCCTTTTTTCGTGGTTTCACGCTCGTATCAGGCTAAGGAGACAGCGGCAAGACCTGAGCCAAAATGATATATAAGTAGGGGCGGAGGCGAAAAAGGTAGAAGAAGAAGAAGACAGAGCTTGCCATAAGGAGCGGCCTAGTGTGTGGCCCTTGATGGGAATGCGAACTGATGCACTTAATTCAGCCAGGCGGGCGGGGGCCCCCATTGGGCGCCTTTTTCGCGCCTTTTTCTAATCTTTTGAACTTCAAAGAGGAGGACCAGAGCCCTCTTAGTCTTAGGGATTAGGGAGGCAAGGGGCAGAAGGAATCTCGCCCCGCCTGTGCTGTTGGTCAGCTTCTGCGCACCGCGTCGCACGTCGGTCTCGGTCCCCACGTTGACCGCTCCGCTTGAGACGTTTCAGGCACCGCACAGGCGGGGGCATTATTGGCGCCGCGTGCAATGCCTCGGGCCTGCTGGTTGTGGAGGTGCGGCGGGTGTCGGGGCTCGCGTTTTAGGGGGACCCACCCCGGGCTTGCTAGTTTCGGCGGCTTGGGCTTTCGGTCTCTTTGTCGTTTGGCGGTGTCTTTCGCCCGCCCCTCTCTCGTGTCATGCTTGTTGTAGCAGCATTTGCGGGTGGTTGGGTGAGGTGGGGCGTCTGCTCTAATGCTTTGGCGCTGAGATCTTTGAAGACAGAGCGAGGCGGGGGGAGTAGGGTCTCGGACTTGCCTTGGAGTGGATTGAAAAAAACAAAGAGGCGCCGCCAGGGCTGCCGCCCGTCGAGCGGCTTGGGCTTGCTTTTCTGCTTTGTTTGCGTGATGCGTGTAGTGGGGTCATTAGTTTTTGGGATGGTCTGTGGCGAGGGGCTGAGGGGGAGCCGGGCTGAGGTGGAGCCCCTCGCCCCATGGCTTGGCTTCTTGTATTCTCTATCGGTGGGCGCCCTTCTTCGGCTTTGCTTGGCCGTTACTTAGTTGCTCTGCGTGTTTTCGTCTTTCTCACCCCCGCCCAGGTGGGTGGCATGGTGCTTAGACTTCCTTGAAGTTCGCCATGGCGGGGCCTCTGGTTCGGGTCTTGGTTGGACGGGGGTGGACTCCATTGGCGGGGGAGTGGTCGTCAGGCGGGTCGCCGCCCCGCACCCATGGGAAAAACACCAGGAGCGCGCTGCGCCGAACTGTGTCGCGCGGGGGAGGAGAGGAGGGCCCGGGGGATGGGAGCCTCGCCAAGATGAGGACCCCGCGCCCAGGCGGTCCACCGTGCGGCCCCGGCTTCCTCGTTTGGTCCAGTTTGCGGCAGTGGTTTTCGGGAGCGAGCTAGAAGGCGGGCTGTCGCTAGCGTGGAGGATGATGTGTTGATGGCTTTTGTTAAGCTTGTTTGCTAGCGCAGGGGCGGCATGTGGGTGACAGATTGAGACTCTTGCTACCTTCTTGGACTGCACCGGCAGCCAAGCTCGTGAGGGCTATCGAAGCCGCGGGCAAGCAGGCTAGAGTGACGCGGGCAGTCAAGTCTGGTTCTGGCTAGGGCTTCGCTTGCGGGCTCAGTCAGACAGCCTCTTGGCTGCGCGTGACTGGGGTGAAAAGGTAGGCGGAGAGAGGTGGCGGCTTTGGCTCGGAGGGTGCCTTCCTAAGTGGCGGAGACCGCTGCGGGCGTCTTTAACTACTTTTCGCCCTGAGAGACAAAGCGAGGGGCTTTTCTATGTTGGTGGCCAATTTCTTAGGCGGTGCCGTGCTTTTCTTCCAGGGACACACAAGGAAGGTGTGGGTGAAAGAATAGCACCGCCAGCTAAGCGCATGGCTGTCGAGCGGATCCCGTGGCCGTGGCTGGGGCGCTTTTCAATAGCAGCGTTTTGTGCTGTTCGTTGTTAAGCTGCAGCAGGCATCTTTATGCCTGGCCTCGGTCATGATTTGCTTAGGAAAAAGGCTGGTCTCTAGAGCTCTTGAAGGGGCAGGCGTGTCGCTAAGCTAGGAAAAATCAAGTGCGGCAGAAGGAAAGGAGCAAAACATGCTGAGCACTGGCGAGACTGTACTTCTCTCCTTTTTTTGTTATTATTCATACATTGTTCAGGGGTTTGTCGCAGTGTGGTAGGAAATGGGGCGAGCCATTGCTGCTGAGGGGCTCGCGACGGACTGGCGTGGCTGTAGAGGTGCTGTGGGTGTTGCGGGTTCGTCGCTCTTTCATGCAGGGACATCGCCTGTGTGACAGCTTCGGGCTTTGTCATAGCAGAGTAAGGTGAGCGACGGGCTCCGAGTTGCAGCGGGTTGCCGGAGTTGCTGAGGCGAAGGGCTCCAGCCTTGGAACGAGTTGCCAGGAGCGAGAAGCCTAGCCGACCGAAATGGGGCGAAGCAGGGCCGCGCGGGCACAGAGGTGCTTGCTCGGCATGCGGGGCGCTGTCTTTGCGACCGCCTTCGCAAAAGTTAGAAAGCTGGGCGGGAGCAGGCGTCGTCCCTTTCCGTTTGCGATCGATAGCGGCGCGCCGCTCCCCGCTCGGTGGTGGGGGGGCAGGTGCCTCGCCCCCCCCGTGGTTTTGTTGCTTGGGGACTGTGTGCCAGGTTGGGCTTTGGTTTTCGTCCCGCTGCGTTGCGGTGTGAGGGGTTCCTTCCCGCCGGGATGGCGCTGCGACACGGGGAAAAATGCAGCGGGGGTTGGTATGTGGGCGGGTAGCGGTGGGCGCGGTTTCACGTTGGTCGGAGGGCAGCTGCTTGGGCCGGTGCGGTACATTCCACGCCCCCAGGGACCTGCGTTGGAGCCTCTGCGGGCATTCGGCTGCCCCCCCTTGGCAGTCTTCCACTGGCGGACCCACTCTTTGCTGGTCAGCAGTTCTCCTGTTTTCTACGTCAACGCCCGCCAAGCAGGTTGCGCCTGCAGGGCGCAGCGAAAAAATTTGCATGGGCAACGCGAGCAGCGTGAGGAACTCGGCTGGATATTGATCATATGGCGCCTAGTTTTATACCCGCTGCGCCGCCTCTGTCGTCTTGGGTTTTGGTGGCTTAGCTGTTTTTGCAGGGAGGTGTGGGAGGGGGCACGCAGGGGCAAACGTCGAGCGCCATGGAGTGCCGGCTCTTGCTGTGGCGGGGGTGCGCGGTCCTTGTCGGTCGGCAGAAGTTGCCTTGGGCGCTCCAGGCTCACGGGCGTCCGCTGGGGTCTTTGTTTCTGGGGGTGGAATTCTTTAGGGGCGCATAGAGAAAAGGGCTCTCCCACTGCCAGGACCTTGCGTTTTCTCTGGAGAAGATGCCGCTCGGGCGGCACGCGGTGCCTCTTCCCTTAGGGGAGACTTTACATGTAGACACTCAGCGGCTTAGTGTCGGGTGTTTCTTAGGAAGAGGAGAGCGAAGGTCTGGCATTAGAAGTCCCGTAGACAGTTTCGAAATATCGGCCCGGGAATTCTACCACAGCAGAGGGGCTTTGATTTGATCTGTCATGGTGACGAAAAGCGCGACAGCTCTGCTTCGTGTAGCTCCGCTGCAGAGGTTGGGGCGTTGCTTGCTGGGCCCCTTCGGGTAAAGGTCGGCTGAGCCAAAAGCTACGTTGTGGTGCCGCGTTTTGGTGGTTCGTTCTTTCTTTCTATGTGTCTTAGTCAACCCGCACAACCGTGGAGAGTGGGCGGGGGCTCGAACGAAGGGCGAATGAATGAAACTGCGCGCCCGCAGTTTTTCGCGTCATTTTGTTGAGGGCTTTGACGCTGTGGCAGTGGGTGGCCCGTGTGATTCGTGTTGGGTTGGTGTGTCCTCGTGCTTCGTGTCTATGCCCGTGGCGCGGCGGCGCTTCGCCGTGTGTGGTAGGTTCAGGCAGTGTCCCTCCCGGGGTATGGCGCGTGGCGTGGGTGTCACATTCAGGGCGGCATTGCAGGCCGATGGCATGGCGGTGAAGGACTTCGGGGAAATGAAAGCGGGCGGGAATTCCTCGCGTGATTGGCTTTTCCCTGGTAGGGTCTGGGCCGATGGGACTGCGGCTCCGGCGTTCTTTTTCTTGTGTGAAGTTCGTGCGCTGCGGGGCTCTTCGGGCTTGCTTGGGAGTTTGTTTGGCCAATAAATTGGCGCGGGTGGTAGCACGCAGACGAACTACGACAAACGAAGGAGAACAGAGGGCACGCATGGAAACAAGGCAAAAGGTGCCAAATGGGACATGCATGACAGGCAGGCCCACTATGCCGGGCGAAGTTTGAAGGGCGGCGCTAGCATCTAAAACGAAGCACCTCGGCGGGCTCTCTGGGTTCTCCTCGTTGTGTCTTTTGTTTCTCGTGTGAAGTCTCAAAGGCTGGCGGCCTCGTTTTGCGCTCTGTGCGTTTGGGTACTCCGTTGTTTGAGGCACTTCGCCAGGCCATTTTTTGGGGATCTCTGCAACGATGTGAAAGCAAAGACCTGCGTGAAGTCTTCGCGGGGACAGAGCTGCCCGGGGCTCGTACGCCGTCGACATCGGCGCCGCCCGGGGTGCAGTCGTGGCGTCCTTGTGTGAGCCCCCCTGAAGCGTAGGGGACTGGGGTGGAGGACGTGGGGAAACGCAGCCGGGGGGCAGTGTCATGAATAGGGGACGCCGCTGGCCATCTTTCTACGCTTGAACACCCTGGGCGGCTTCTCGTCTCTTCTGTCTCTCACGGAAGAGGAAAAACCTTAGCAAAAAGGCCGTCGCGAAGCCTTTGGGCGTTGGAGTAAAAAGCTGGAATCTTTTTGGAGCAAAGCGCAAACGCGTGAGGTCATCATGGCCAAGGCTTGGGCGCTTTCTGTCATCATTCAGCCACCTTGCGAAGGTTTTCTTTTTGCGCTCGCTCTTGTCTCCTGTGTTTTTTGGTGAAAGGGAGCATTAAAATGGAGCGCCAGGAACAAGCCCGCGACAGTTTTCGGCGGGTCTACATACATAGCAGGGCCTAGCGTTTTGCGTCTCTGCTTTTTCTTTTATTTTGTCTCCCCTCTTTGTTCTTCTTTCTCTTCCCAGCCTTGTGAACCCGTTTGGGCTGTGCGTTTGCTTGGGGGTGTGTCGGGTGGTTCTTGCGTCGAGGGCGGGCTTGTTGGCTTGTGCTGATCTCGGGACAGTGGTCGGGCTGGTCGTGTGTTGGTTCTGTCGGCTCTGCTTTCAGAGGCTTCGCAGGACCCGCGTGAAGTGGACAGCCCAGGCGCAAAAGCGGCGCGCGCGAGCCCCGGCAATTTTTCGCCAAGATTCTCCATAGACGGCAGTCCTCGGGCGCGGCAGTCTCTAAAGTACACAGGGGCGGGGCGGCCATGGGCCCAGGGAGCCTCGCGCCATATGCTGGGGGGTGTAGATACGTAGTCGCTTCCAGTCGGGCTCGGGCGCCGGTGGCGCTGCGTGGGCTGTGTGGCTTTTATGCTGACGCCTCTGCGCGTCTTGATTCTGAGGCCGCAACTTTGGCGCACATTTCTCGCACGTGTCAGCCTTGCAGAGGTCAGCTCGTTTGGCTCTCTCTTCGTGCAGATCCCTCGCTCTGGCAAGTTTTTGCTTTTTCTGTATGTTCGTCTTCTGTGCTTTTCTCTGCGATTAGGCGCCTCCCTTGGTTCCATCCACGTTGGGCAGGGTCTTTTTCTGTTTCTCCTTCTTGTGTGTTTTTTCTAGAGGTTAACTGCTCGGGCACGTTCCTCGCATTGGGCTGGGCTTTTTGTTTTTCTACCTCTTCCAGGTGACGAGTGGGCGCCCCTCTATCGGGTTCCTTCTTTCGATAATTATGCAGCGCCGTTCCCCCCGTTGTGTTGCTTTGCGCTCTTTGTTTTTTCTGCCGCAAGTTGTTCGCCGTGCGTCGTGTGTTCTTTTTTTCGCGTTGATTTTCGGCGCCGCCTCGTTAGGCTGAGTCTTTTGCTTTTTCTGCTTCTTCTTCTTTGGTGTCTGTTGGTTTTTGCTCTCGTTTTCTTTTTGGTTGATGTATGTTGTGGACCGCATCAGACCAGGCGACCTGCGGCTGGCGACAGCGCGGCCGCTTTGATTGGCTTTGGCAACGTGTCTCACTGTCCTCGCTCGGCCTTAAGTCGCCTGGCTCTACAGGCTTGTGGATGTCGGTGGGATGTGGTGCCACCGCCATGCCTGCCGTGCCTCCATTGGGCCCTCCCCCTGACTGATTTAGGGAAGAGAAGTGCGGGAGGTGCTTGCGCAGTGGGCTGGAACTGAGGGTGAACAACTGGCCAGGAAACAGATATGGGAGAAGCTAAGGCAGAGAGCAAGGGAACGCCACCGGGGGAGGGATCTTGGGGGGGGGGAAAGGGGGTGGAGGGGCTTCAGAGGGTCCAGGAAGTGCTGGAGGGTGGTGAGAGAGAAGCCCGAAAAGGGGCCGGGTAGAAGTAAGACGTGGGCAAAAAGGTTGAAGGCAAGGAGCGTCGAGGAGATGCCCCTCAGGTGCCTGCGGACGACACACTGGGAGGGGCTGCGAAATGCGGTGGCGAGGGCTCTACATGACACCGAAAGAGGGGAAGAGGAGGCCCTGCCAGCGTAACAGCTTGCGAGAGATGTTCTGTGGGGCTGGATGGTTTTGAAGGGCCGCCGGGGCTCGTAGGGCACGGCGCCAAGACAGCGAAGAGCAAGGAGGAAGGAGGCCGGGAGACGTGTGGAGAAAGGGCGGCACGGCAGAGGGTAGAGGAATGGAGAGCCGTGAAGAGGGAAAGAGGGCGCAGAGATCGATGGGGAAGTAAGACAGAGGAGGGAGGAGGGCTGGGCAGTGACATGCCCAAGCTCTGGGGGGTGATGCACATGCATCTCGAGGGAACGGGAGCCGCGGCAGAGTGGCTCCGGGAGTCCTTGGGGGAGGCGTTGGAGGAGGACGCCTGACCATGGCAGGGGCGGGGGTATAAGTATGCGCACCACCGGCGAGAGGCGTGGGAGGTCTCGGAGCTCGTCGGGGGCTCCATCGTTTGCATGGAGGTGCAAGAAGAGGGAGAGGGGAGCGATGTGTCGCGCCTGAAGAGCTGCAGGGGCGGCGCCTCCTTCGGATATCAGGGGGCGCGGGGTGTGCCAGATTGGCTATATATGGGATGGGCGAGGCGCGTGCAAACTGGTTAAAGGGGGTGAAGAGGCTTAGGGAGGATAAAAGGAGGCGGGGGGCGTTCTGTGGTATGAGGTGATGGAAATGGGACCCGAGCAAGAAGGCAAGGCGCAGACGTGCCCATACAGGGCAAAGGCGTGCTGACGGCCAGAGGAGCCAGGAGCACAATGGTGCGAGGGGTGCAAAAGGACCGAGGGCGGGGAACAGCTTTGGGCAGAGCACAGGCGAGCGAAAGAGGAACAGGGGGAGAAAGGGAGGGAAAAAGAGAGAAAACAGGAGGGAGAGAAGAGGGAACGAGAGCGAAAGCGGGACGAAAAGGAAGAGGAGGGAGAAGAGGGGAAGCGGGTCCAACAAATAAAGAGGAAAAGGGCCAAACAGGTGGAAGAGGTGCAGACAAAACGAGGGAGCGAAAGGGGGGAAATGAGGAGACAAGGCAGGAAAAGGCGGAGGGGGGAAAGGCTGGGCCTGGCCCCGGAGGAGAGGGGGGGGGGGGGGAGGCATACAAAAAGAGAAAGAGGGGGACGAGCCTGGAGGGAGAGGGAGGGGGGGCGAAGTGGAGAACGAAGGCGAGGGCCTGCCCCTGGGGAAGGTGGAGGCGACGGCGGGGGAGAGACAGGTAGCAGGGCTCAGCCGGGTGATGAGCGGCAGGGCGCCCATGCTGAGAGAGTGCAGGGCGGCGATTGGCATGAGAAAGGGAGGACGGGGAACAAGCGGCCACCGGTGAAATGTGGCCAAAGACAAGGAGGAAGGGGCGCCGCGCAAAGGGCGCCGAGACCGAAAGCGAAGGGGAAGAAAGAGCCGGCGAAGGAGAAGACCGGCAGAGCCCGCAAGGGAAAGCGGGGCGAAGTGGGCCAAGGGGGTAGAGGGATGAACGGCGCAAGAGCGCGAGAAGGGCAAGGGGACGGCAAGCGCGAGGCTGTGGAGCCGTAGGGCAGGGGAAGGGCTTGGAGAATGCAAAGGGTGAGAAGGGCAACGAGGTGAAAGGGAACGGAGAGGCCCAAGGACAAGGGCAGGGAAGGAGACAAGGGCAAGCCCAGCCAAAGAGGATAAGCGGCTGCATGAAATGAGACCAAAGGGGCCGAGGTTTAGGGGCTCCCGCTTTCTTAAGTTAAGGGGGGGCCCCCTGATGGGGAAAGTTTAGAAGGCGGGACGCCGGAGGCGGGCGCCGCACTTTCTTGGGGCCGCCTGGTGGGTTGGCGGTTGGAGTTCCGCGCCATCTTTGCGGGTTCGGGTTGGGCTCTTGTTTCTACTCTTTTGAAGAGGGGGACCCCTTTAGGGATTATGGGGGCAAGGGGTAGGCGGAGTCTTGCCTTACCTGAGTGATTTGCGCGCCATCAAGTCAATTCCAGCCAAGAAGCGCAGGCGGCTGCTCGGTTTGGGGCTCTAAGACTTCGCAAGAGCTTTGCCACGTGATTGGCCACGCGACTGACCACACGCCGGGCCACATTTCGGCACCGAATTCTGGGAGCTTGGGCCGCCGGTCTTGCTTGGTGAGGTCTTGCCCCTCCGTTGTGCTGGAGGGAGGCGCGGGAGCACTTTGAGACCCATCCAAACGGCGGCTGCCGTTCCAGACTTGTTGAGTTAGGGCTTTGTCGTTGGTTGAGCGTGGGCGCGGGGTGTGGGGGTGTTCGGGGGTGCTGCGGCGCCACTGCGGGGGCCCGCGGGGTGCGAGGGCCTCGTGGGTGTAAGGCGTTTGCGTCGCTTCTGCTGGAGGCATCGGGGCAGGGGGTGGGGGTTCTTCATCAGTCGACGTCGAGGAGCGGCCAAAGACCAAGCGGGGGGAGATGGTTGCGCCACCTCCTTGCGCACAGTGTGGAGCGTCTTAAAGGGGGTGGGGGAACATGTTCGGGGCCTCAGCTGCTCGCAAGTCTCGCGCAGTGTCGGAAGGTAAGCAGAGGGCTTTGCTGGTGTTGCGGTTGCGTTCGGTCATCGGGGTGCCAATTCGTTTGCGCGGTTCCTCGAAAATCCGCGCGCAATTTAGCGACAGTGAATATGTCCTGGCGTGTCTCGGTGTTTTCGCGTGTCTCGGTGCCTGTCCTCGAGTGCCTCCGGCGGATTCGTTCCTCGCAGTAGTGTTTTATATCAATTTCCACGCTTGCAGTTGTGCTGTCGTTGTCAGTTGCAACCAACGAGAGCGCAGACTTTGGCGACAGCCTTTAGATAGAACGCAACAGTATACAACAGCCTCAACCTAGAATCGTCCCTATTCCAGTCCCGCGCGATCGCGATGGCGCTGCAGAAAAATATTAGCGAGCTGGCCCAACTGAAGCAAGCAGTGGACGATATGAAAGAGGCTGGGGCAGCACCCCAGCCAGACCTGCTAGGACTGACGAAGACAATCGAGGAGGCGCGACAAGATCTGGAGGCACTGCCTCAAGCGTGCCGCAAGCTTGCAGCGGAACTGTTACCGGGTCGTGACGCTAAAGAGGTGCCTGATGATGTCTTTCTGGAATGTGTCGACAGTGTTGTCCCTGAATTAATTGCTGCAAAATCCAAGGCCACGCTGTCCAAGGTCCGCTACGCAGTCGAACAACTCAAGCAAGCGAGTGAGAAACTGCGGAACGGCGCGGCGCCCTCAGGTATGGTTTCTAGTTCTACCTAAACAAATTTGAGAAATAAGAAGCGACCGGTCCTCGATTTAACATGAGAAAAGAACGGATACCGAAAAACAGAAAAGGAAAAGGCCAGCCCGCCCATGAGGTCTACAGCCTGCTGGAATTCAATGCTTGGCATATGGCTGGAAGGGGACTCGCTTAGGAGAACGCGCTTGCTAGTTGAAGCCAAAAAATAAATGCATATGCACTCAGTTGCCGCGTAGATGGTACATAGGTGCCCAGCCTCCATCTACTTCCTCCAGCTGTGCCATGGATGGACTCAGAATGCCTGAGGCTTGGGCCACAGGTTGGACCGTGCAGCACCAGCATGTCGGGCGGCGTCTTGCTCTTTGGGTCTTATGCGCTTTGGGTGCTGCGCGGCTTTCTTGTGCTCTGGCTGGGTAGTGCCGCTCGCAGCTGTGTGCGGCTGCTCAGTTTCTGAGTGGGCCTGGCTAGTTTGCGTGGGCGCTGGCGTGTGCCCTTATCGTAGCCTGAAGGGCTCGCTAATGCCTTCGGCTGTGCCGGTACATGAGTCAGGCGCCCTCGCCGCGCTTTGTTGCTCGCTGGCTTGGGTCGGGGGTGGGCTGGTGCAGTGCACCCAGCACACGCGCACACCCGAAACCGGCTCGGACATTTGCGCAGCGACTTGTGGCCAAGGGTGTTGCACTCGCTCGCGCGTATTGATGGTGGCGTGGTGTGGTCTTTCGAAGGTCTTCTGCGTGGGGTCGGCTACAGGCTTTGCCGCGTCCAGATCAGCTGGGGCAGGCGTGTGGCGATGTCCGTGAGCTGGGCGGTCTTCTAATCCTGAAGACCTTCGCGATTTTTTAACTGAAGTCGTTGGCCGTGGTGTCTTTGTCTGCTTGATTGACTCACCTGCCCAGCACTTTAGGACCCCAGAAGGCGAAGCTTTCAGCTTATGTATGCACTGGAGGGGGTGACGAGCTGGCCGGCGAAGTGGTTGCATTAATTGGCGAGCTAGCGCAAGTAGGTGGGGGGCAGGCATGCTCTTAGGAATGTTCTATCTTTTTAGGCGGGTGACATTCAGAAAAAAAGCCCCCGCTGCCAACCTCGAAACAGCTCCAAAAAACGGCGAGGCCCAGCCGGGTGATCTTATTCGCCGCGACTCTTCTGGGCTTCGTTCGACGCTTCTTTGGTTCAGGTCGCTCAGATGTCATGCTGACTCTCAAAACGGAAGGCAGCAAGGGGCAGGCGCTGCGACTCTCACTTCCCTCAAGCAAAGAGATCTACTTAGAAAGATGGGCACAAGCGTAAGCGTGAACGTGATGCCCTCCTTTCGCGTGGGTACCTCCAAAATGGTCGCTGTGAGTAGGGAGGCCCGCCTCTTGAACTTTTCTGGAGTTCTTGTTGGGTGATGCAGTCCAGAAATGTGCATGCTGGCGAATCTTCAGCAGCTTCTTCGCTGGTTATTGGCTTATGGCTATGGGCTTCAAGTGTTTCGCCTTCCAGCTTGGCGAAGCGCGTGGCCCATTTCTGCATGAGAATCGCCGCGCATGAATCCAAAAAAGGCGGACACGCCTACAAACATGCACTCTCCAGGTGCGCGAGCAAGGAAGAGAAAAGACACCGCCACAACAAGGGAGGAGGGCTGGAGCGCTGAGGGACGCAATAGAGGGGGGAGGAAGGCGGCAAGGCTTAGGGCACGGACGACACAGCACCGCGCGGGCCCTTCTTCAAATTTCTAGCGTGGATTGATTTCGAAGCGCCTCCGGGTTTTTTTGGTGACTGGGGGGCAGAGACTTCGTGGGACTAGACTCCGACAGCGGAGGCAGCTGGTCTGCCCCCTCTCTATTTTCAGACGATTCATTCGTGAGCCGCCAGGGGTAAGCGATAAGAACGAAAATGAAAAAAGCCCGAAAAAAATGGAGTCGGGCGAGGATCGGCTGACGCGGGTGAGCTTCGAAAGCTTGCGGGCCTTTTGTTTCTAGGCGTGCGACTGCAAATGGGAACCCGCTTGCAGCTGGCGCCTGCCAGATCAAAAACATGGCCTCAACAACTTGGCCAATCTCGCAGGCGCGTCCCGGTGAATTTGTCGCAAGGGTCTGAGTTGTGGCAGGCAGGGCTCGTTTGGGTGTTTCGGTTCGTTCGCGGCATGGGTTTTCAGACAGCCAGAGATCCCGCGCCGGCCTTCCACTGGCGTGAGCACAATATCGCTGGCGCCTCCTCGCGCGGAGAGTCTGGGGACCTCGCGCGGGAAGTGGCCAGCAGCTGGGACGACTCTGCCCCGGCGCTGTGGTGGAAAGATTCTGCGAGGGCAAACCTCTTCGCGACGCTTGTTGTGCCTGCGTCTTCACTGGTCTGAGAATACTCTTGGGCAAGTTTTTTCTTAGGCGCAAAAGCTGGCCGACGGACGCTTTCAGCAGCAAAAACGTCTGTGCCATCGCATGCGCCACGAGTTTAGTCCAAGTCAGGGCAGGGGTTAAGCCTTAGGACTCAGCCTCTGGACTGGCAGGGAGCTAATTCCATCCCTTCTCTTGCTCTGGGGCGGTGGCTTTTAATCTTTGAAGTTCATGCAGCGAGCAACCCAGCTACTGCACTAGGCTCTACTCTTTTCGTGTCCTTTTTTTCTCCTTGAGAATTCATCTCGACACACTTGTAGCTGCTGGGGGGGCGATGCAATTGCAAAACGCAGCAGCAACCGCGGAGACCTCGGGGACGGCAGCACAGGCGGCGGAGGGTGATAGACCCGCGCCAAAGCCAACAGAAACAAAAGCGGCGACGCCGCTCCCTCATGACGCTTCCGCAGTATCCAAACCAGCAGCAGCAGCAGTGCCGGTGACAGCGCTTAGTGCTGAGGGCGGTGCAACAGCTTGGGCCGCTATGCCTATGCTTTCTGGCGGTGGTGCTGAATCAAGAGGAGTGGCGCCAGAACCGCCTAGGGATGATTGTGGTGCAGCACGTGAGGCAGCTGTGGTCTCTGGTAGTAACAAGAACAACTGACATCGCTGTAACAGCTTGATGCACTTTTCTAGTTGTAGTGACAGCTGACGCGTATTGCCGCAGCTGCGTGTCTGCTTGTAACAACTTGGCGCCGCTTGTATCGTTACGGGCCCAAGCAACCTACCATCGCTGCGGTGGCGTTTGTTCAGGCTCGTTGTGTCTTCTTTAGTAAGTTACTCGATGTGGCGTGGCCTGTCTCACTTTCCGGCTTTGGCGCTTTCGCGGTCGGGTGTGCCCGCCCCACGCGCAGTCTACGAGCCCACGGGCCCCCCTGAAAGAAGACTAGCCGCCCTGCCTTCGTCTTGCTTGCTGTCTCTTTTGGTTTTTGTGTGCGTTGAGCTGATGAAAGGGACAGGGCGCCAGGCTTCCTCGCATGTCTCGCCGCCCTCGTGTGTCTCGCGCGCTGTCCTCGTGTGTCTCGCCGTCGAATCTATCTGCGCGCGCGTGGCCGTGGGTGTGTCTCACTGTCTTCGCGTGTCTCGGTCGCTGCCTCGGTGTCCTCGTGTGTCTCTCTCGGTGTCTTCGCGTGTCTCGGTGTCTCCGCGTGTCTCGGCGTCTCCGCCTGACTTCTCGGCGTCTTCGCGTGAGTGTCCTCCCGGTGTCTTCGCGTGTCTCGGTGTGGTCTTCGTCTGTGTGTCTCGGTGTCTTCGTTCGCGTGTCTGTCTCGGTGTCTTCGTGTGTCCTCTCGGTGTCTTAGCGTGTCCTCTCGTCTCGGTGTCTTGCTTCGCGTGTCTTCTCGTTTCGGTGTCTCCGCGTGTCCTCTCGGTGTCTTCGCGTGTTCTCTCGGTGTCTCCGCGTGTCTCCTCGGTGTCAGTCTTCGCGTGTCTTCTCGGTGTCTTCGCGTGTCTCGGTGTCTTCGTGCGTCTCGGTGTCTTCCTCTCGTGTCTCGGTGTCTTCTTGTGTCTCGGTCGGTGTCTCTCTTCTCATGTCTCGGTGTCTTCTTGTGTCTCGCTCGGTGTCTCTCTTCTCGTTGGCGCTAAATTTGGGGTGCTAAATTTTGTGGTCATGCGTGTGGTTTTGCACGCAAAAAATTGGCGCTAAATCGAGGGGGGTCCCAAACCTCGCGCGAAAACGCCTAGTAAGAACTGGGCTGGTCCTCGATTCAGCACAAACTTAGCACGTGCGCGACCACATGCAGGACCACAAAATAAACGGACCCCGCGACCGCTGGGCCCTCGCGGGCCTCTGTTGGTTTGGCTCTTGGTCGTGGCAGGCCCCTGGTGCTGGTTCTGTAGAGTAGTAGCGAACGGATCACGCTGCAGCCCCGAGCGCATGTAGAGGGCACAACAGTCAACCGCAGGCACATGCCCCACGCGTTCTGCGGCTGTGTACTGGGCAAACCAGACGCCGGCAGTGCGTGCGCGTTGCCATATCGTTCGAGCAGCTAGTACGCCATTTCTGCCTTTGGGTCTCAGTCAGCTACCAGCGACAGCGCAGGGCTGGCGAGTACATGCTTAAACGCGCAGCGTTCTGCCCTCGTGCAGCCTAATGGTGATGGAACTGGCGCCAGGAGTCAAGCGAAGCACTTCAGCGACTGGCTGCCGCCCAGCCCGTGCGCGATGGAGGCGGCGAATGTCGCGAAGTGTGATATCGCTCCGACGCACCTGCTCGGCGCAGGAGCTAGCAAGCTGAGGCAAGATACGCCCCGGGCCAAGACTACACAAGACAAGACAGCGACAACTAGAAAAAGGCATCCGGCTCGACTTGCGTCCAGGGCTTGGGCTGCAGCGGATGCTGGTCTGATCTGATCTGCGTGCGGGTTGGCACTGGAGGCGAGTCGAGGCCAAGCTGGCCTAACGAGTGGCTAGACCGCTCGCCTGGTGTGGGAGCATGCCGGGCACTTATAAAGACGACGCCAAGCCACTGGCACCGGAAGGACCCCCCGGAACGGCGGCGGCCTTCAGGTCGCCGCAATTCAGTGGACGACGGAGAGCGACGGCGGGAAACCTCCAAGGGAGGGCGCTGCCAATTCCACGCGCTACGCCTGCTGCCGCCACCCGCGGACAGGTGCTGCGCTCTCTTTTTCGCGCTTGCAGGGAGGCGGGCTGGCAGCCAGCCAAAAAACGGCACCCCAAAGGGGGCAGCGGAGCGGCTGCCACTTTCTGCGGGCGCGCCCGGCCTCTCCGCTCCGGGAGGCAGGGAGGGGACCAAGGGGGGGCACGGGGAGAGGGGAGCACGCGGGCACGGGGGGGGCGGGTTCGGACTGCCAGAGGGTGCCGCGATCGCGAACACCCGCGGACAAAACCAAAAGCCTGGCCATTAGAAGAGAGAGACAGACGAGCACAAAGCAAGCCCCGCCACCAGCTTGGGCCTAGTGGCCAGGGTGCAGCTAGAAGCAAAAAGAGGCGAAAGCCTGAAGGACTGGACCCACAACACAAGCGAACAAAAGACCAAGAACACCGCGGCGGTGCTTGGGTTCTGCTGTCTTTCTTTTGGAAGAATGTGCCCAGATTTTGGGGGGCTTCCCTCCAGTTCTCGCGCTTGTCTAAAAGGGGGAGGGCTGACCTCGCGGCGCTTCTTTTTTGTGACTGTGTCTGCAGTGAGTGGTCTGAGAATCAGTGCTCCTGGGCTGGTTTTGTCTTCGGCGCAAAAGCTGACCGGCGGACGCCTGTAGCAGCGAAAACAGTCTGCGCTCTGTCTGCGCCATCACGTGTGCCATGAGTTTAGTCCAATTCGGGGCCGGCAGGGGTTAAGCCTTAGGACCCAGCCTCTGGACTGGCGGGGGGCTAGTTCCATGCCTTTGCTTGCTCTGGGGCGGTGGCTTTTAATCTTTGAAGTTCATGCAGCGAGCAACCCAGCTACTGCACTAGGCTCTACTCTTTTCGTGTCCTTTTTTTCTCCTTGAGAATTCATCTCGACACACTTGTAGCTGGGGAGGCGATGCAAAATGCAGCAGCAACCGCGGATACTTCATGGACGGCAGCACAGGAGGTGGCGGAGGGTGATGGCCCCGCGTCAAAGCCAACAGAAACAAAAGCGGCGGCGCCGCTCCCTCATGACGCTTCCGCAGCATCCAGACCAGCAGCAGCGGCAGCAGCAGGGCCGGCGACAGCGCCTAGCGCTGAGGGCTGTGCAACAACTGGGGGCGATATGTCTATACCTTCTGGTGGTGGTACTGATTCAGCAGAAGTGGCTCCAGAAGCGCCTGAGGATGATGGCGGTGCAGCACGTGGTGACCGCGAGGCAGCTGCGGTCTCTGGTGGTAACAACTGACGTCGCTGTAACAGCTTGATACAGTTTTCTAGTTGTGCGTGGCGATAGCTGACGCGTATTGTCGCAGCTGCGTGCCTGCTTGTAACAACTTGGTGCCGCTTGTATCGTCACGGGCCCAAGCGACCTACCATCGCTGCGGTGGCGTTTGTTCAGGCTCGTTGTGTCGTCTTTAGTAAGTTACTCGATGTGGCCGTGGCGTGGTGTGTCTCACTCTCTGGCCTTGGCGCTTTCTCGGTCAAGTGTGCCCGCCCCACGCGCAGTCCACGAGCCCACGGGCCTCCCTGAAAGAAGGTTAGCCGCCTTGCCTTCGTCTTGCTTGCTGTTTCTTTTGGTCTTTGTGTGTGAATTGAGCTGATGAAAGGGACAGGGCGCCAGGCTTCCTCGCATGTCTCGCCGCCCTCGTGTGTCTCGCGCGCTGTCCTCGTGTGTCTCGCCGTCGAATTTATCTGCGCGCGCGTGGCCGTCGGTGTGTCTCACTGTCTTTGCGTGTCTCGGTCGCTGTCTCGGCGTGCCTCGGTGTCCTCGTGTGTCCCTCTCGGTGTCTTCGCGTGCCTCGGTGTCTTCGCGTATCTCGGTGTCTTCGCGTGTCTCTGCGTGCCATGGTGTCTTCGCGTGTCTCGGTGTCTTCGCATGTCTCGGCGTTTCCGACTGTCCTCTCGGTGTCTTCGCGTGAGTGTCCTCTCGCTCTCGGTGGCTTCGCGTGTCTCGGTGTGGTCTTCGTCTGTGTGTCTTGGTGCCTTCGTTCGCGTGTCTGTCTCGGTGTCTTCGCGTGTCCTCTCGGTGTCTTCGCGTCCGTGGGTGTCCTCTCGGTGTCTTCGCGTGTCCCCTCGTCTCGGTGTCTTCGCGGTTCTCCTCGGTGTCTCCGCGTGAATGCCCTCTCCCTCGGTGTCTTCGCGTGTTCTCTCGGTGTCTTCGCGTGTCAGTCTCCTCGGTGTCTTCGCGTGTCCTCTCGCTGTCTTCGCGTGTCTCGGTGTCTTCGTGCGTCTCGGTGTCTTCGTGTGTCTTGGTGTCCTCCCGTGTCTCGGTGGGTCGGTGTCTCTCTTCTCGCGTATCGGTGTCTTCGTGTGTCTCGGCGTCTCCGTGCGTCTCGGTGTCCTCGTCTGTCTCGGTGTCTTCGCGTGCCTCGATGTCCTCGCGGATTTCGATGTCTCCGCGTGTCTCGGTGTCTCCTTCGCGTATCTCGGTGTCTTCGCGTGCCTCGGTGTCTTCGTTCGTGTGCCGCGGTGTCCTCGCGTGTCTTGGGGTCATCGCGTCTCCCGGTGTCTTCGCGTGTCTCGGTGTCGTCCCCGCGTGTCTCGGTGTCTTTGCGCGTCTCGGTGCCTTCGCGTGTCTCTGTGTCTTCGTGTGTCTCGGTGTCCTCGCGTGTCTCGGTGTCTTCGCGTGGCTCGGTGTGGTCTTCGTCTGTGTGTCTTGGTGTCTTCGTCCGCGTGTCTGTCTCAGTGTCTCCGCGTGTGCTCTCGGTGTCTTCGCGTGTCCTCTCGTCTCGGTGTCTTGCTTCGCGTGTCTTCTCGCTTCGGTGTCTCCGCGTGTCCTCTCGGTGTCTTCGCGTGTTCTCTCGGTGTCTCCGCGTGTCTCCTCGGTGTCAGTCTTCGCGTGTCTTCTCGGTGTCTTCGCGTGTCTCGGTGTCTCCGCGTGTCTCGGTGTCCTCGCGTGTCTCGGTGTCTTCGCGTGTCTCGGTGTCTCCGCGTGTCTCGGCGTCTTCGCGTGTCTCGGTGTCTTCGCGGATCTCGGTGTCTTCGCGTGTCGAGAGTGCTTGCGACAGGCAACTCGCAACATAATAAGAGTTGCGCGCAGGCGGTCGTCTTTGTCAGTTGCAACGAGAGCGCAGATTTTGGCGACAACCTCTAGGACGTAACAGGTGTAACAGCATAGATACAGCTTCGACCCAGAATCGTGACACCTATACCAGGACCAGTCGAGGCAGACGTGGTCGTGGCCGAGCTGAGCACGCTGGCGAAAGAGGTGGCCACCAGCATAGCGCAAGACAAAATCCCCAAGAAAATTTGGAACCACCCAGAACTGGTCGATGCACTATCGTCCGCGAGGAAATTTGTTGACGGCTGCTGGGCTTCAACGGAGCCCCTGTGTCGTGGGTCTTTATTTGTGGAGGAAATGAAAGAAAGGCTGCGGGACATCAGAGTACTGCACAGCCAGGCGCTGGGCCATGGGCGTGATGTACCAACGGAAGCACCAACGGAAGTACCAACGGAAGTACCAGCGGAAGTACCAGCGGAAGTACCAACGGAAGTACGAGTACAGACGGAAGTACCAACAGAAGCACCAACGGAATCGGAAGCACCAACGGAAGTACCAACGGAAGCGGAAGTACCAACGCCGGCACCAACGGAATTGGAAGCACCAACGGGCGTAGAGCCATGAAGTGCGCAGCCATTTCTTTGCCATGATGTCGCCGCTTCGTCATCTTAAAGGCTGCCCGCTTCCCTTAGTGCTAATTTATGTTGATTCTGAAAAGCATCACTGAACCAGAGGGAGCCCGTAGCTTTTATTCCAGACGGAAACGGGTCACAGATGAGACTCTCAGGATCATGTCGTGAATATTCTTCCACATCATTTCTGGCTACTTACCCATAAAGAAAACGCTGCAAAATAAGGCTCGAACTTTTAGCGAGTTTTTACTTTTACTTTTTTCAGGCCTCTTAAAATAAATCAGATTAGCGGAAAAACTACTCGCATAACCATAGTGGTTTTTTTTACTTTTAGCGGCCTAACCACTTGAGGGAAAAAACGCCCACGGGGGCCGTCGCTTGTGTTATTTATTTAACAGCCCTCCAGTATAATTGCTAAAACGCAACCGAAAACCTAGCAAACTAGACCCGCAGGGGAGTCAAGTTGGAAGCAGTACCCCCCTCGCTATACCTGCGAAGGTTGACGATTCTCGTGCAGTTTCAAAGTGTGTCAGTTCATGCCCTTGATTATCAAGCCACTTCCTTGCAACGTTAGGGGCCTCGGCGCTGATGTTCTCGATCCCGATAGTTTTCCACTCGACTCCGATGGCGATCACCTTGATGGCGATCCCCTTCCTTGGTGTGATCTTGTTGGCCTTCTTGTTCGTGTGATTTTGATCCTATAACCATTTGGCTCATGATCTTGGTGGACTTCTTGACTGAGATCCTTGAGCCGTTTCGCGTTGTTGATCTGTCCCCCCACTATCATTCTGCCCAACGTTCCCCCTCTCAGTGACAAGAACGGCAAAGGCCTGCGCCTTCGTCTTGGCACTGGATAGAGAACACCGAGGCAGAAGCGACAACGACAGGCAACCAGCCCAATGCCACACCAGAAAGGCAGCAAGAGCTCACTGTGAGAAATGGCTACGGTCATCTGGGACGCCATCCGGCTGGAGATCGATGTAGATTCCATCTACGCGGACAAGAACCCCCGCAGTTTCCTAGCTGGCCGCCCCCAGTGCGCTACCGATGACGCGGCGCAGGCACGGCATCGGAGGACAGCACCGCTCGCCATAGATAGGCGCCCGCAGTCTTCTACGGCCTTGACACTTACCCCACGTCCCCCCTCAAGCGATGCAGCAACACAACGCACGCGCGTCGCGCTTCTTGTCGCTGAGCGAAATGCCAGGCGGTGTCTGGAACACCATCAAGGGCCTCCCCATTGGTTTGGTAAGAGGATCGGCCTGATTCAAGCGAGCCGGGCAGTGGCAGGCGTCCTCTGTGTGATCTTTCACCGCGTGAGAACGCATCTGGAAGCGCTTCGCCTTCTTGGTTGGTAGGGTGGGACGTCCCTGCCACCGTAGTGCTAGAGCGTCGGCGCCTCTTGAAGTTTCCGGCTGGAATTTTGTCGGAATTTGGTCCAGTTTTTGTCCTTCGAGTTGTAGAAAAGTGAGAAGATTCGACTCAGAACGAACCGGCGGAAAGTGGGAAAGTTTTGCACTTTCTTAGCTGACTCTCTATGGATTGCAAATTTTTGGAAAAGGCGAGATGTCGAAAAGTGGGAAGCTTTTACTTCTAAACGACTTCCAGAACGTTCCAAATTTTTGAGAAGGGGCAGCCCCTGAAGAGCTTCCAAATGTTTGAGAAGGGGCAGCCGCTGAAAATCTAAAACGTTTTGGCCTGGGTTGGTTAGCTTCGATGGAATAGAATAGACGCGAGGAGGAGGAGCAGTAGCCTGAGCCTGGGGGGCTTGGGCTCGTGAGTTTTTGGATTTAATTGGCCCAAGACATGAGCACAGCACGACCGTAGCCACCTGACCCCACGCAGCGGCCCCGCTGACTCCTCGCCCTCCTCCTCCGCTTCTTAGACCAGATGAGGCCAGTCGAGTCCAGCAGTAGGCTACAGCTACGCTGAAGCTAGACTACGCTAATGCTGTTTAGTCTAGACTGGCTTAGCTTAGCGCTGCTCCTAAGCTAGTCTTAGTGTAGTCCGAGCGCAGCGGCAGCGCTAGTCTTGTTCTCTAGACTAGGCTAGTCCAGGCTAGAGCACAAGACAGCCCCAGCCCAGTCTAGTCCACTCGCCTGGCTTGCTCGCTGTCTCATGTCTTGTGCTGTAGAGTAGTGCGGCGTAGCTCGCTGCTGTCTTGTCTTGTGTTGCCGTGGCTTGCGTTGCCTTGGCTAGGCTTGCGCTGGCTTGGGTTGGGTTGGCCCAGGCCAGCGGCTGCGTTGGCTTGCCGCTTGGGTTGGTTTTGGGTTGCGGTTGCCCTTGGCTTGGTCTTGGCTTGCTCTTGGCTTGCTCTTGGCTTGCCCTTGGCTTGGCTTGCCCTCCTTGGCTTGGCTTGCCCTTGGCTTGGCTTGGCTTGGCTTGGCTTGGCTTGCCTTTGGCTTGGCTTGCCCTTGGCTTGCCCTCGGCTTGCCTTCCCTTGCTTTCCCTTCCCTTCTCTTCCCTTGCCTGCGTGCCTTCCCTTGCCTTCCCTTGCTTTCCCCTCCTTTGCCACAAAACAAAAACAAAAAAAAGAGGGAAAGAGGGCGCGTGCCGATCGGTCGAACGTGGGCCGGCCCAGTCGGTGTTGCAATCGGTAAACAAGGAGAGAAGAAGCAGAGAAAAAAGCCGAGCGCGAGGGACCTAGAACAAAGAAAAGGCGAAGGCCGATCGGTCAAAGGAGAAGAGAAGACCAGAGAAAGACGCTAGACCGCTAGCACACAGGAGCCGGGGCTCGTGTATAGTGGCCAGGAGAAGGATGGCCACCACGCGAGAAAGGGTGGGCAGCGAGGGGAAGAGGAACCCCACGCCAAACCACTCCCCCACCCCGGCAAAAGGTGTAAGAGCGTCCGCGCGCCCCTCGAACAAGGAAGAGGGGCGGGAAAAGAAAAAAGGCAACAGCGGGCCTCAGACACTGGCTGCGGCCGCAAGAAGAGGCACGCCGGAACGAGAGAAAACCCTCCCACGGGGGGCACCGCCGTGGAAGGGTCAGGAAACAGGTGGCCAACCCCAAAAAAAATGACAGAGGGCAACTTACAGAGTTATGAGAAAAATACTAGGGAGGACACCCGGGCAAACAATGCTAGGGCGAGGATAACCCACACAAACCTCAACGAGCGCGCCCCTGACGGCTGGCAAGAAGGAGAGCGAGAGGAGAGGGCGCGGCCCGTGGACAGCTCTAGCAAGACGGACGGCCGGCCGAAGGGGGTGCAAAATGCTAGGGCAGGGGCCCGCACAGACCCCGCCCCTGGGTGAGGAGAAAGGTGCCTGGGGGAGAAAAAATGGACGGGGAACCCAAGGAACCCCGAAAAAGAGACGACACCCAGCGAAAAGGTGGAGGGAAGGGACCAGACTGGCAAGAACGTCGTCCCAGACAGGCTAGGAACGACCAGGGGCAGGCGAGCAACCCCCGCAGCGATGAGGGCAATGGGACTCAGGGGGCATAGAGTAGCTGGGGGCGGACACTGTGGGCATCACTCCGTCCTCCACCAGCTTCAGGCGAGGGACTTCGCGCCCCCCGGCATCAGCACAATGTGGCAAGTGCGAGCGCTAGTAGAGAGAAACGCGCGGAGAATGGAGGAAGTCGTGGCGGGGATGAGACGGAGGACACAGCGCAAAAACAACCACCGCAGCAGGGGCTTGCGCCCCAGTGGGCCTGGATGACAGGGGAAGGCCTGCGAAGGCCTGGACATCCTAGCCAAGACGCTTCTCATCAGTATCCGCATCTTCATGAATACAGACGCGGGGCGCACGTTCGTGATACCTGGGGCGGGGGACGCCCCAGGCAACCTGCCAGAAATCTGCCTAGTATTCACAGGCGGACACTACAACTCCACGACGCGGCTGGGAATAGGAGAACAGCCAGGGCAGTCGCCCGCGGCCCGGTCGGCTGGAGTGGGAGAAACAGGCAAAGGACCGCAGGAGAAGAGAGGGCAACAGAAAGAGAAGGACAGGGCAAGGAAACAGGAGACCAATGGAAAGGAGGAGGGCCACCCGGGAGGAAGCCAAAGGAAGCAGGGAGAGACGCGGCGACAATCATGCCAGGAGGAGAGGAGACCAGACGAAGCGGGCAAGAGGAACCCCAGGGGAGTGCCCCCGGCGGTGATGTTTGGATGAATAGAACACCAGCGGAGCGGGGTCATCTTGCATGTGGTGAGCAGGAAGGCCCGGCAGATGCAGGGACAATCGGCGGACATCCTCAACGAGCACCCGCAAGCAAAGGAACAGGAACAAGACCGGAACAGAGACAGGCCCACGGGCAGCGCCAGGGTGTTCGGCCAGGCGCTTGGCCCGGGGAAGGTGGTGAACACCATGGGACAGGAATCACCGGGCCCGCCGGCAATCGGCGAAAGCTATCGGCACCGGCTCCAGTGGCTCAGTGAGGGCTTGAAAGACGTGGCCAAGCAGCTCGGCAGCCAGATGGGGGCAGGCGGTCTCTGTTTCTTCTTCCCCCACAGCGCAGGGCGCGGCCAGGCTGGGGGAAGATGGAGGGACTTCCGAAAAGTCTTGGGGCTCTTCGGTGAGGAACTTAAGAAAAAAGGAGGCAGCCTCACGACCGTGAGGAAGGCAGGAATAGGAAAGGAGACGAGCGAAGGAGTTGGAAAAAAAGCACAAAAGCGCAGGCGGCAGAAAGGTCGCAAAGAAGAGGAGGAGAGGGGGCGTGAGCTTGTAGACTTAGAAGTGCAAGAAGCAAAAAAAACCGACACCAAAGGCGAAAAGTGGACGGAAGTGAAAAGAGTGAAGAAAAGCGCAAAGGGAGCACCCACAAGGGAAGCAGGCGGGAGGCTGGAAGAGTGGCCGGATGGGGTAGCCATCCTAAAAACCGCGAAAAAAGGCGGGGAGACGCGGCCACTCTTGTGCAAAATGAGAGAAGCCATAGGCCGAGGAGAACTGAAGAGAAGGAGCACAGAGCCCCGGGACAGCGTGCACCCAGGGAGCCTGTTGGCCTATGAATGGACGGCGGGGGCCGGTAGGAGTGGCACGGTGGCCATGATCGCCCACAAGATCCACGCAGGCAGGCCAGGGAGAAGCGGGGACATGATGACGGAAAGGGCCGACAGGCTTCGCAAGGGGCTCGCGGAGCTAAGCGAAGACATCAAAAGAAGAAGCAGAGGAACAGAAGAGAGCCGAGGGCCCCCGATCTCCTTAGCTTTCGAAAAAGATCTGAAAGGAGGGGAAGAGGCCAGAAAGGAACAGGCAGCAACACAACAAGAAGGGGAGGCGTTTGCGAAGGGACTGCGGGGCGCCGGCTGCGACGTTTTACCATGGCGGACACATCGAAAAGAATGGAACACGTGGCGCCTGGGCAAGGGCTGGACGCATGTAATCCGGGCAAACGCCGGGAGGAACAGAAACGCAAAAGAAGGCACAACGGCAGAAGTGGCAGAACGTGCCAAAAAACTGCGCGACGAAATGGACGCGAAGGGCGTGAGCCTCGACAGTGTCCGGGAACCAAAAGGGCAACAAGTCGGGCAAGGAGTGCGGAAGGCGGCCAAGGGTGCAGGGATTAGAATCCGAGAGGATGGGACACGAAAGAGACCGC